CCTCCCACAGCCGTACTGTGTTGTCTTCAGATGCTGACGCGACCAGCTGCCCGTCTGGCGAGAAGGCTACCGCCCTGACATAGGAGGAATGGCCCTCGAGCGTGCTGCGACACGTCCCTGTCGCCGCCTCCCACAGCCGTACTGTCTTGTCTTCAGATGCTGACGCGACCAGCTGCCCGTCTGGCGAGAAGGCTACCGCCCTGATATAGGAGGAATGGCCCTCGAGCGTGCTGCGACACGTCCCTGTCGCCGCCTCCCACAGCCGTACTGTCTTGTCCCAAGATGCTGACGCGACCAGCTGCCCGTCTGGCGAGAAGGCTACCACGCTGACATAGTCGGAATGGCCCTCGAGCGTGCTGCGACACGCATCCCAGTCTACGTCTTTCTTAGATAGCATCTCCACCTTTTCTGGCACTTGGCCTATAAATGTTCGTCGTATCACACTCTTCTCTGGTGCGAATACTAACGCCGAGTAATAGGTCTGCAACGGTGCGTCTATAAGCACAGACCGGAACCGCAGCACGAACCGCTTAGCGTCATGGAGAAAGCTTGAAACTAGCATTGTATGTGCCTGCGTCGTACGTTAGTAGAGTAAGAGAAAGGTGTCTTTTTAAAGTCTTACACTAGTAAGCGTCTGAAGGCTGTCGAGCAAGTTAATGCATGTACTCAATTCTCTTATAAGGCTCATAGCCTCAAGCCAATGAAGAAGATGCTTCCGTAGAAAGAGGTGCGTGGCGTCTCCGTCAACAATGCCTTGCCCACTCTGCTTGAGATGGTCAACCCAGTAGCGACACGCATACTGTAGATCAGGTGGCAGCCTCGTAGCAACTGTCTGCTCATCTACCTCGCTCCTTAGTACTCCAGGGCCTAGAAGGCCGCACATGTCCTGATGAAGACCGCCAGATCCAGACATAAGCTCGAGGCAGCGAGATGCAAGCTTCTGGTGTGTCATTTTCTCATCCACCCAAAACGGGCTCTCTCCTTGCTTTTTGGGGTCGAGGAGGAACTCGCGAAAGGACAAGTGCAAAAGACGAATAGGCGCGTCTTTATTGTCAGGAACACTAAGAACAGAGTGTAGAGGGTCAAGACGACACTGGATCTCTTCTTGTGGAACTTGTAATAGGCGGGCAAGCGAGATGGCAGAGAGTGGACTTTCGAGAACAACAATACTACCAACAACTTCTCGGAAAGCCTGAAGCCACGTCTCCTTCTCGTCTTCCTCCTGCTCACTAAGCAGCTGATCGAGCACAGGGAGATACGTCCGATCTAGCTGCGAAAAGGTTGCCTTCTGATACTGCAGGACCTTATTCAGAAAAGCCATAGGATTGCTTCCTTTACTACCGACATATCGACACACAGTGGCAGCGTAGATGAACAGCGGCACAGCCAGCTCAACGACCGCGAGGATCTGTTGTTTCGCTGGCCAGTCTGAAGCCAACTTGCGCTCTTTTCGTATCACGGCGAACTCATGCTCTAGAAACAGACGGATATCGTGTTCAATCGTGCTTCTTGGTACTTCGTGGAGGATGAGGTCCTGGTATGTGCCGTTCGGCATCTCCTTGAAGCCGAGGCGGATGTGGAGTTCGGGCCGGCTAGTCACCACGATCCGCAGCGGCACTGGGCGAATGTCTTTTGTCCGAGCAAGCAGCTGGAGTATCGCCCGAATGTCTGCTTCCTGCTCACATTCGTCCAGCGCGTCGATCACGACAACACGCGCTAAGGCCCGCGAGCGAGCCTGCTTTATTCCCAATAGTGGCTCTAGGATCAGCTTCTCGAACTGGTCTTTTAGAGCCTTGTGTGAGATCGTAGAGTCCTCGTCGAGCGTCTTCCTAATGCCAGGTAGCATGCCGGGCTCGTGTACCACCAAGTCGGTAGCGATGGTGGCAAAGAACCGTGAGGCGTTGCCGCGCTCGCCCTCGCCTTTCTTGAAGAAGAAGCTGGCTCCAAGTTGCCCTCGACTGGCGAACGACTGAGCGACCGTCCGCGCAATTGTTGACTTTCCTGTGCCCGCCATGCCGCTCAGCCAAAATATAGACTTGCCATCTTTATTGTTCGCCCATGTTGTGATCTCGTCTAGCAGCTCGGTGCGGGTGTTTGGTAGGCATCGTGCGTTGTGCTCTTCGTTGTGGGAATTGAAGGAGGCGCCTATCGCGACAGGCAGTTTGGCCAGATCCAGCTTCTGGTCTATGCTGAACACAACGGCTCTGTATAGTCAGTGAGAAGCTGTTTCTACGCACGACGTATCTGTATACAGAAGCTTACGTCTGATCAATCTGTAGCGCTAAGCCAAAGGTCTGTTCGTATCTTTCTAAGTTTAAAACGATCTTGTCCACCTCCTTGCTCGTGAACGGCCATTTAAGCGCACGTAAACCAAACCGCCTCATAGTCTTGCGGGTCTTTCCCGGTTCTAGCTTTACACCTAAGCTTTCCAACTCGTTCAGGCATTGTTCGAGCGAGTCTAACAGGCCTTGGGTGGCAGAGAGCCGAGTCTTGTCCTGGCTGTCGAGAAGCTGCTTGATCTTCTCCAGAATGTGGTTGATGTCGCTAACTTTTCTCTGCACACGTTCGATATCGCCCTTCGCGTCCTTTACGGCCATAGAGTACTGGACACATAGCGACACAATCTTGGCGGATATGTCGATTACTGCGATGACGCTTGCTGCGCCCGAAAGGCCGTCCATAACGTGAGGTCTGCGACTGAGATGAAATAAACTGGTCAATCGCGCCTTGCACTGTTGTAGGCTGATGGAGCAGCAAGGCCGCTCTTAGATTAAGAGAAGCGCGGCAACCCATCTTCAGCTGTGGCTGAGAGTAGTGGCATAGCTAAGCGCTGTTGCATTGCAGGCGACGAGGAAGGCTTCGGAAGTACGTTTTGCCGAAAGCCGCTTGTCTACCCTCGATGTGCGTGCTTAAGAAATGAACGGGACACCGTGCGAGTGCCAACTATCCTATCTGATCATCTGCAGTGAGATGTGATTGTTCGGGCCAATATGTAGTTTGCTAGATAAAGTACAGTATCATGGCACTGTTCAAAGCCGCATCGTGCGCTTGCTATTTTTAGAACAAGCTCCGCTCGCCCTGTGCCGCTTGTCATCAGAGCGACAGGACGCGCTTTGGCTACGTTGAGGCTGTTCGTTACTACCCCTTTGCTAGGATATCAACATACTCGCGGCCATGGATCCAGCTAGTCAAGCACTGGCTGAAGCCTTCTCTTCCGACCAGCGTGAGACATATCGTACTATGGCGGAGAAGAGCAATGTCCCTCGCTCTACCCTTCATCGTCGTAGGCACGGAGGAACGTCGAAAGAAGCAAAAGCTCAGCGCCAGCAATACCTGACTGTCGAGGAAGAGAAAGCACTTGCTTTATTCTTGCTACTAATGTCTAGTTTTGGGCAACCGGTTCGGATCAAGTACGTACCTACGCTAGCCTTCAGCATCGCACGCCGGCGGTCTACGACGACCAACAAGCCGATCAAGCCTCCGGGCAAGAACTGGGCTCGCGCCTTCGAGAAACGCCACCCTGAACTCAAAGCGAGACGAGTCAAGTCAATAGACTGGAAGCGCCATGAGAACAACATATACGATAAGACTGTAGAGTGGTTTCAGATAATTGGCAAGGTGCTGCAGGATGCAGCGGTACTGCCAGAGAATGTGTACAACATGGACGAGACAGGGGTTATGCTAAGCAAGCTTGGCTCTGTCAAAGTCCTGGTAGGTAAGGACGATAGACGCGACTATAGAGGTGCTGGCATGAAGCGGACGATGGTGACTGCTGTCGAGTGCATAAGCGCTGACGGTAGGGCGCTGCTACCTCTCATCATCTGGCCAGCCTCGACGCACCGAAGTAACTGGACTACGTATCCCACACCTGGATGGCACTATGGGTTCTCTGAGAGCGGTTACAATGACTCTAAGATCAGCTTGGAGTGGCTTATGCGTGCTTTTGATCCCCAAACTAGAGACCTGGCTGACGGTAAACCGCGGGTGCTGATCTGCGACGGCTTCGGCACTCACGAAACGCTAGAAATTCTTGAATTTTGCCTTAGTAACAACATCATGCTATGCCGTCTCCCCTCTCACACCTCCCATAAGCTGCAGCCCTGCGATGTTGGAGTATTCGCGCCCTTGAAGACAGCCTATCGCGACCAGGTCGAGCGGCTAAACAGAGGGGGTATAGATACAGTTGGTAAGGAGCACTTCACCTCGCTATACGACCCTGCAAGGACCAAGGCTTTCACGAGGCGGAATATTAAGGCCGCCTGGGCCGCAAGTGGCTTGCTGCCTTTTAACCCAGAAAGGGTACTCCAAGACATGCCAAGGTCACCTGCAGAGCTCACGGTTTCTATAGCTAGTAATAAGGATATGCCATCTGATCCCAGGGACGAAATACCTGTAACACCTGTAACGCCAGTAAATACAGAAGGCCTAGTGTCGCTTCATAACCTAATTAAACAGGACACATCTACGCTTGACGAACTAAGTAAGCAGCGCCTACAGAGACGAGTACAGAAGCTGGCGAGCGCGGCTCACATCTCGTTCGCCCAACAAGGTCTCCTGCAGGACCACAACCGACTATTGGCTAAGATTAACGGAGAGGCCAAGGTCCGCCGAGCGACTCGATCAGTCGTGCTAGGGAAGGCGAAGGTGATGAGCTATGAGGATCTGGAGGAGGCACGGGCAAAGCGTACTGCCAAAGAAAAGGCTGTGGCGGAAAGAGGTAAAGCAAAGCGTGGTCGTAAGCGTGAGGCTGCCCAGAAGGAGTTAGGTGAACTAGAGCCAATCACTCAAGCTGCAATGATGAGCGAAGTTGCAGGGCCATGGAGGGCGCCCGTGGCGCGGATGTATTGATGTTAGATCAATGCCAGAGCACGTAGTGGTGCTTAAAACACTAGTAGTCTCTTATATTAGTTAGGCTAACTTTACAATGATTATAAACATAGAGAAGCAGCTTTCGTTTCGCCTAGCCCTGTTAGTAGTTGCTTCGATTGTTTTTTTAACACCAGAGTTTGAATTATTTGAGTATCTGCCAAAGAGACGAGGCTGTGCACAGCCACAAGGTCTTTAGCCATAGTTGATAAATTACACTAGTTAACTAACTTGAGCTAATTACGTAATGCATGTAGGATCGCTTATCGCTAGCCGAAGTAGCGATCCGCGTGGCGACCCTGTATAGCTTTGGGCATTACAGCAGGCGCGAAGCTGATGATGGCTTGCCACGTTAATATAAGACTCTTGGGGCTGGATACTAATGTTCTTCATATGCGATAGGTAGTAAAAACTTCTAAGCAGTGCTATAGCAGAGTGACACGGTTATTCACATAGGAAAGGCTGTTTGTAACATTTGCAAAAAGAGCATTAATAGCTACGTAATTTTTAGTTGGGAGGATTGGGATAGATCCACTAATAGCTATACACTATAGGCAATTTGAATATATAGCGAATATTAGAATGTGTGAAGAAAGCGAAGTGTCGAAAGTCAAAGTACCCCTCATTTGTCCCAGCACGGCGGGTGTCCCAGCACTCAGGGATGGACGTTAGATATTATAGCTTTTCAATGAACATCCCCTCGATCCACTTCTTGGCAAGTATTGTGACCAAGATTATAAGTAAGGCTTGTACATGCCTGATGTTGAATATCTATGTGCAATCTGCATCTGGATCTGCGTAACATATCTTTTTTACAATACTCGTACATGTCGGAAGCTCGATAAACTACATCCAGCTAAATCATCTTCCCATTAAGCAATGCCCTTCACTCGGAAAGCACTTTGTAACGATCTTACCCCTGAGGCAGAATACTGCGCCATATGCTCAAAAACACTTGAAGCAGGCGGCGGAAAAGCTAGCCTTGTGTATGTTTTAAGGGATTGTCGCTGTGTAAGTCTATTGTTACTCACATTAAGTCATATTGCCAATAGTGAGAAGGTCATCTGTGGCTCTTGTGTCCAGTTTCCGAGTGTGCCACCCTTTCTTCCTTGCCAGCATGCCGACCACAAGGACTTTGGGTGGCAGAGACCGCTACGACTTTACAATCTCAAATGTTTCATCTGCTTAGATGCTAGAAGCTCCATTCGCATTGCTCTAGTTTGCGGTAGGTTGACATTGTGAATTTGAGGTTGCCAACTGTCTAACAATCAAGGCCACGTGTATTGTCGAATCTGTATTATAACATGGATAAGCTCTCACGGAGAGTTAAACAACGATTATGTAGCTTGTCCGTGCTGTAGGAATAGCATGACCAGGGTCTGGCGGTTGTTGTCGCATGACCAAGTTGTTATACCCTCCCAACGAGGGGTTGAGATTGTATCGCCATGCAGAAGTCCATAGATGTGGGACAAGATAACTCCCCCTTAATAGATTGGTTTTTTGAGTAACTTTTGTTGGAGCAACTGCTCCATTCCGCAACGGCCCGTTACCTATGACTTGATGACAAGTGATATCTCTCCTCATCCGAGCTCTTCCGTGGCTTTCCGTTAATCGTAAGCTGAAAAGCCAGCACGATGGACACCGGGAAGATCCTCCACGTTATTTAATCCTTCGATCTGCTGTTTTTCTGAGTTTGCTCCAGAATTCGATTTCAGAACACCGAAGTTTACAATGTCGACTACTACACCCCATTATGGAAACTACCTACTCGTATTGTCCGGATCGGTTGAGCATGCCCCGTTCTTGAAAAACTGGAAAACTCTCAAAGACAGTGTGCGAAAGAATGCCGGAAATCCAGGGTGGACAGATGTGAGCACGACGTCACATAGAGGAATACGACGGGCGTGGTGCAATCTATCGATAGAGAACAAGGCGAAAATTGCATACGGTACGCATCACGATCCGCAAATCGAAGAATGAACATTCACGTAAAGAGCCATAGGATACTACTCAAAGATGCCAGGAGTAGGAGTCTGCTTAATGAGGAGGACATCGAATGGCGAATACCTGCTGCTTTACTACAACTGCACCGTCGCCTTCCCTACTGCATCTCAATGTAGCCATAACCCTTGTGGTCGGCAGGAAAACTGCCAGAGGCTTATGCCTAATAAGGCAGTTCTACCTTGTAACAGGACCTTGCCTTTTGCACCTCACCACATGATGCAACCAAGGGGTTACAGTATTTTGCCACTACGATTTTACCCCTTGTATGTAGCAGGCGTATATTTACCTAACTCTGCTAGTGGCTTTGCAAACGGGCCGCTACCATTATCATAGAAGGGCATCATGCTTTGATGTATACACTCTCATACACTTGCAGCTTCCGCTTTGCGCACGCAGCTTAGTTGTCATCCCACGCTCACCCCTGTCTCGCTTAGCGCAGGCTTTTCCTTAGTCGCTCTAGCTCTTGTCAGCATAGCCCTTACCCCTTACTTTTAGAAACCGCTAGACTTAGTTATTTCTTCTGAGTATTACTAAGTATCTTATAGTGTACTTTAAAGTCCTCTTAGCACGGGTAACGTCCCTTACTATGTAGCGAAACACACTTTGTGCCGAGACAAATGAAGGGTACTTTAACTTTCAGTAACCGAAAATCAATGCGCACAAGGAATATTTCCATAATTCTATGGAAACGATTAGCTGCAGCTATTCACGAATGTCTATGATCCTTCCTGTCCAAAAATTACGTTCGCATCGTCGCCTCCGCGCCTGATTTATACAGTGTCTTCTTTGTGGGCATAATAAGCCCCCCTCTCCACAGCGCAAATCTCAAGCCTTTTTCGCTCTGAGGTTTTGTATGGTAGTTCTATCCTACCCTCGCAACCTCCTTCTAATACCACGAAGTTACTATTAGTCCTATGCGCGCTAGGGGGCGCGATTTCATGCAGCGCCGCCCCCGTCGATTGGTACTTATAGCGGAAGCGAACCACTAACCCTAGCTAATGCGCAATGACCCTGCACGTCTTACCTTATCCATTAGTGGGTATTTTACTGAAGGATGTGTGGCTGTGCAGCTTGCACAAGCGCTCGGATTATTGCTAAATCCGACTTGGGATTAGAAGCGGTGATAAGACTTGGCCCGGGTTCGAAAGCTTGCTTTCACACAGACGCGCAGTCCAACACACAGTGATACCCACTTGTAACGTAGAGACATACCATTATGACGCCCTCAAGCTCCGATGCCTGCTGTTGTCCTCTTCGCTGACCGAACGAAAAACCTGATCAGGCCCACCACCTCCCCATTGCTCCATGAGTCCATCAGCGCCGGTTCCTAGACCAAGCAGCAGCGAGCTCCAGTCTCGGTTCGTTGGAAGGGAATACGATGCGACGGGAAGGATACAAGCTAAGATAGAGCGTGGCGGGCCTGGAATCGAAGCCTGCACTTCGGCAAGTGGGTTCAACCGAGCGTTACTGCCAAAACGCCGTCGTTGCAAGCGCATACGAAGGTGGAGAGGCCCTAGCTTTACGTGATACATGAGTACTGTAATCTTCAGAGCCATAGAGGTGTGCTTTAGTTCAAGCTATAAGGGTCGTAAGGAGTTTTGGGTTGTTCATGTTTCCACACGGATGAGTAAATTACTAGCAGAGCTGTAGCGGTGGCCATGCTTGGCAAAACTCTACTCTATCTAGGGGTTTCATAGTTACAGCTCTCTTCTCTTCACCCATATCTACTAACCATCGCCTCCGGCGCAACCCTCCAGCCGGTGCGGCTTGGCCATCCTCCCTGCTGATGGTGGCAAACACCACGTACCATCGAAGTACCTACTGCAGCTGCTTACTAACTAGTCTAGTATCGAGAAAGTAAAACGTAGGTTTATTTAAATATGTGATATATTAGTTACACTATAAATCTATAAGAAGAAGTTTGAAGGACTGTAGGTCTATTACTAGAGATTAATATGTGTCGCAGGCGAGGCACTGTCACAAGCACGTGCAAGAGCTAGCTGCGTTAGTAATCTTGCTGTAATTCCTGTAGATAGGCATTAGCTAGGGTGATCTGACATGCATCACATTTAATCACACACAATATACCACATTCACTCTTTTGACGTGAACCACCCCATGCACACAAAAGTGCGACATTATCCCTACCACAGACACGCTTCTAAAGATATTAGTAGTGCAAGGCTGTGCTTTCTAAGCAGCGCCTCCTATAGTCGCGGGTTCGTTGTTTCCACATGTTCTCTATTACTAAGACTGTGCCGCAATCCCTTACTTCACATACCCTCTCCCTCTTCTCTATTCTGGTCCCCGAGCGCGGCTGAAACTGAGTAGGATTAAATCAATTAATCAATCAATCAATCAAGGATTGCGAAGAAGGAAATAGAATTACGGTATATAGATCTTAGTAATAGCTCTTACAATTCACTGTTTTTAACTTCGCACTATCAGCGCAATATATTGTTACTGCTTTTCAGAAAGCCCCAGCCTTTCCTGTCTCTAATGGCAACCCTTATCTATTTCACCTCGCTTTATCCGCGACAACCAATGCTAAGCTACTACACAGGCTATCTCATTGTTAACCACTGGTGGCCCTAACACGTTGGAACTAGATGTTCGGCATTGTGACCAGCTCCCTAGAATAGAAGCATCCAAGCTGCCTGAGCCGTGAGTCCAAGTAGTGCGAGCGAACTCGCAGCAAAGACCGGAAAGCGTATGGAAGGATTATTGGTAGAAACGTGAATGATGCTGTGTAACATTCTCAGCCCTACATAAGTCCACGCCACACCGACAGTTCTCTTGTCCTTGACATCCAAAAAGCTCAGCCCCAGCAACACTGCGTAGAACTGAGTAGGTTGTTCCAGTAAGTTGTTGAAATTATCTGCCGGCCATTGAACGAAAGCTGGTAACTTTTCTGCCTTCTGCTTTTTGACGGTTGCTGGATCAAAGGTGACGTTGTACTTCGAGAGCGCTGGGATCCTGCGTTTGTATAGTAGGAATTCCATAGCAAAGGTCCAGATATTAAGGCCGACAAGGGGGCCAAGGAGAGGTTTGTTGGCAAGAAGGGGGGACATGGTGGCTGTTGGCTGATGGTTCGGGCCAGGAAAGTTGGCAATTGCCTCAATTCGGGGCTGTAGAGTAACAACGTTTTGGTAGGTAGAGGAAGCAAGTGAGCGAGCGATATAAGTCCGGTCTAACAAATTTATTTCCTGTTAGTAGCTTAACGCTAAGAGCGGTTAGTCGAGCTTATTAACCCGCGATCCACCAGTATCTCCGTTGAAATAGACTTATTTGTCAGCTCCATGCAGACGGTCCGATTCTACCAATAATCGAGACACCCAGCTTTAATGACCTAACTTGATTTGGTTAATTACGTCATAGAACATGATTTCTGTTGCGTACGTTAGGTTCTTCGAAATATTCATGATTCCCCGTCCACAATACTCCGATCGAGTGCGCTTTCTAGCCTCGGACAGTTTCAAATCACTTTGTCAATCTAAACTGCGATACTCATCTTGCGATGATTATACTGCGATAGTTAATCAGATTCGCGATTTTTGACACGCTTCTCATTTAGCAAACGATGGGCCATGCCAACCGCAACAATTGTCTGCTGTACCTCTACTAATTCGGCCTCGCATTCGGTGATACTTCTGGCATGGTAAGTGAGCTGCCGAGGAACCGTCTAAACAACGGTGAAACAATCGCAGCTATCCGCTGGCGGTTGAGACCACCAGAAAGCATCAAGGGTCTGGTGCAAGATAAACAATAGTGGCGGGAAAGCTGCCTGCATTTCCTAAGATATGTCGAGCGAGGAGAGTGTTAAGTTTGTCTTCGAAACCACTGTTCAGAATAGTAACAACGCGCCGTGCGCGACCGTCATGTATAACGCCTCTGGCCATGAGCACTTCTCTTACAAAGATGTATGCGCCTAAAGGTGCAAACGCGGTCCACGCGACGATGTATGGTGAGATTGACATTCCTAAGTTGCAAAAAACGCTGAAACAGATGTGAAGCTAGGGTAGGACCAGAAGATGTCGCAAACGTTTACTGGGATCGACACACACAGAGTTGAAATGGATTTACGAACGAGTTCGACATTGTCGATGCTTGAAAAATAGCGGTTATTATAGTCTTTGAAAAGAGTCATGCTTGCTCAATCTTTAAGATCTTAGTATGCAGCTCTAGATAGTGTAGCATCCTGCCAAACATGGCCACCGCCATAGCTCTGCTAGTACTCATCCCTCGCGAACATGAACAACCAAAACTCCTCACTATTGTTAGAGGTCGAACTGGAGCATATCTCCACGGCCCTGATGATTGCGGTGCTCGTGCTCGGAGCCGCTTGTCGTTTAATCGTACCATAGCTGTATCACTAAGCATGCAGAGCCTTTCCACCTTCGTATGCGCTTGCGACGGCGTTTTACCAGTAGCGCTTGGTTGAACCCCATTTGCCGAAGCGCAGGCTTCGATTTCCAAGGCCGCCGCACTCTACCTCATCTTATATCCTTCCTATCCCATCGTATTACCCTTTAACGAGCTAAGACTAGAGCTCGCTGCGGCTTGATGTAGAAATCGGCGCCGGTGGACTCGAGAAGCATGGGGACGTAGTGGGCTCGATCAGGTCGTTGCATCGGTCAGCGGAAGAGAGAACGGCGGATCTCAACACTCGGGGGCAACGTGATAGTATGCATCACGAAGCAAGTATCACTGTGCGTTGGACTGCATCTCGAAGTGTGTGGGATCGCTGTGTCAAGCTGGTTTCGACGCTGAAAGCGCGTCGGCTGACTTAGGTCTATCCCTGCGTAGCGAGACGCACTGTGTGGCGAGACAAATAAGGGGTAACTTGACTTCCAGCAACCAGGAAGCTCACGCGCACGACAGATATTGTTATAAGTCTATTGTCAGGACCTGGACCGGATTGGGCCAATCCGGTCCAGGGCGGCTCAGGCTTGGCAGCCTTAGTCAGCAAGGCCACGTTAACTAACGTGCCCCACCAGTAAGCGGCCCACCCCAGTAAGTGGCCCACCCCACCCAACCTGACACGACTCTCCACACAATCACCACAATGCCGCGACAACAACGCTCTATATAGACCTCTCGTGAAGCTAGAGTACTTCTAGTGTCTCGTGCGCTTCAAGAGAAAAGTGTAACAAGCCAGCGTCAGGCTGCTATGCTATACGACGCTCCACAAACGACGCTCCGACGACGCCTCCGCGGTACCCAGCCGCGATCAGAGACAGTTTCTATCAATCGCAAGCTATCAGCTATTAAAGAGCAGTCTCTTGTTCAATGGATCCTAGAGCTAGATCGACGAGGCTTTCCACCCCATATCATCGACGTGCGACGAATAGCAGACGCTCTACTCGCCGCGCGTGGCGAAGATCCACCTCCACCACCTGTCGGCAAGAACTGGGTATCGCGCTTTATCCAAGGCCAGCCAGAGCTTCAGACAAAGTGGACTAGACGATTGCATAGTCAGCGCGCCTCCTACGAGGATCCTGCTATAATCGCAGCATGGTTTAAGCTAGTAGAGGAGACGCACCAGACTTACGGCGTTCTTGACCAGGATATTTACAACTTTAACGAGACTAGATTCGCGATGGGCGTCGCTGCAACGTCAAAAGTGGTCACTAGCTCTGATAGAGTTGGTCGAGCAGTCGTCGTCCAGCCAGGTAATCGCGAGTGAATGACAGCGATCGAGTGCGTCAACGCGTCTGGCTGGTGTCTTCCACCCTTCGTGATCCTGTCTGGTAAGGTCCACCAGAGCAACTGGTATCGCAACCTCCCCCTCGACTGGACTATCGCCGTCTTAGATAATGGCTGGACGACAGACGAGCTTGGTGTAGAGTGGGTGAAGCACTTCGACCAGCATACAGCCGCTCGTACAGCCGGAGTCTATCGTCTGCTTATTCTAGACGGCCATAGCAGCCACGCCACGCCACGCCAGAGTTCGATCAGTACTGTGCCAATAACAGGATTATCACTCTCTGTATGTCGCCTCACACGTCGCACCTCCTCCAGCCTCTAGACGTAAGCTGCTACTCTCCACTAAAGCGCGCGTACGGATGCGAGGTCAAGGAGCTCGCCCGCCACGGCGTCTACCATATTGATAAAATAGACTTTCTTACAGCTTATACACGAATCCGGCCAGTTATATTTATACAGCAGAATATCCAGGCAGGCTTTCAGGCGACAGGGCTTGTCTCTCTTTGTCCAGATCGCGTCCTGTCATTGCTAACTGTTATCCAGACGCCGTCTCCACCACCAACAGCTATAGATAACAATATTACAGCGCAGGCAGCAGCACAGACGGAAACACCACATACAGTAGCCCAGCTTCAGGAGCAGGTGCGCTATCTTCAACAGCGACTACACCGGCAGTCAGAGAGCCCAACAAGTATTGCAATACGTCAGCTCGCGAAAAGCGCTCAGCTCGCGATGCAATCAGCAACAATACTTGCAGAGGAGAATATGAAGCTACGAGCAGAAATCCAGCGTCAAAGACAAAAGCAAAGCCAGCCGCGTCAATATATCGCTTCTGGTGGAGTGCTCCGGGTGCAGCAGGCTCAGCAGCTCGCTATAGAGTCAGAAAGGGTAGTTGCAGAGGCTGAACAAGGTGAGAGCAGTCAGCGACGTCAGCGCGCGCCGCCGACGTGCACGAAGTGCCATATCCAAGGACACACTCGCACTTCATGCAGAGCTGGATAATAAATAATATCTCTTAATTTTAACTGATTCTATTGCGTTCTTGTGGCTCAATTGCGCAGAACGTCGCATCAGGTTTGGTGGGGTGCCCAGCTTACTGATCCGACACGTTAATCAAGATGCTGAATTACGGGGACGAGCGGAGTACGATCTATCACGTGATTGGCCTGTCAGGTGCATGCCAAGAAGGACCAAGCAGGCCGACAACAAGCTCTGTCAAGATCGCGTCTTAAATCCGGGTTGTAACATTACTCTATTCCGATCCTCCGTGGTTAAAGCCGGCATACGACTACTCAAAAGGGAAATACAGAGGCGCGGCTCCGCGAAATTTGGACCGGCTAGTGGCTTCACTATCGCCGACAATTCAATTCGTCCGAAAGTTAACAAAGAAATTGCTCCCTGAGATTTCATAAAGAGATTGAGGACGAAGAAACGCACTGTATATGTTACAACTTAGCATACGACAAGTCTCCCAAGACCTCCTTATATCGTAAACCTGATCCAAAGACTTCAACCACCAAATATAGTCGGTCCGATTACTTGAACAAGACGCACGCTATTCGTATTGATACTTTCGATTTCCTTTCAGTAATATTCAGAAAGACACCAGCATATTGAACAGTTATTCCAGTTCTCTCGAAAGACCAGCTCACCAGAGCCTCCAAAGACATCGACATGAAGATGGGCAATCAACTCTCCCAAGTCTTTCCTCCCGCTCCGAAGTTTACAGAGGCAACAGTCCCCGACCTTACATCCAAAGTTTACATCATCACTGGTGCCTCGGCAGGCGTGGGCAAAGAGCTTGCGCGACTCTTATATAGCCGTAATGGTACGATTTACGTTGCAGCACGTTCAGCAGAAAAAGCCAACACCGCGATATCTTGGATCAAGGAGCGCCACCCAAGTTCAACTGGTCAGCTGCATTTCCTTAGGCTAGACCTGAATGATTTACGAGGAATTAAGTCTTCTGCTGAAGAGTTTCTGAGCAAAGAAAAGAGACTGGATGTGCTTTTTAACAATGCGGGCGTTATGATGCCACCGCAGGGCAGCAAGACAGAGCAAGGATACGAATTGCAATTGGGCACGAATTGTCTAGCGCCTTTCTTATTTACGAAAATTCTTACTCAGATTCTCGTGCAAACTGCCCAATCAAGTCCGGCTGGTAGTGTGAGAGTGATTTGGGTGTCCTCGAGCGCAGCGGAGGTGGTTGCACCGCGGGGCGGGATTGATTTGGAAAACCTAGATTTCAAGAAGGATCAGTCAGCAACGGCAAAATATGCCGTTAGTAAAGGAGGCAACGTACTACATGCGATTGAATATCAAAGGCGATATAAGGACGAGGGGGTGGTTAGCACTGTAAGTTTTTGTCCATGTGGTCGTATGGACTTTTGAGCTAATAGGATACAGGCACTTCATCCAGGCCTCCTTAAGTCTGATTTGGGGCGACATGCGGGGTTCTTCTTGAATGTCCTTTCCAGGCCGTTTCAACATGCACCAGTGAATGGCGCTTACACAGAGCTTTTCGCAGGACTGGCACCTGAAGCTGGGAATCTCAAGGAGGGGGAGTGGGTCATCCCCTGGGGAAGAATTGCAGAGGTCCGGAAGGACTTTGTGACCGAAGGTAAAGCAGGGCCTTTTTGGGAGTGGAGCGAGAAGCAGGTAGAGGGGTATGCATAGGCTTCGGTAGCGCAGAGTTTCACTGGGTGCGGATGGCTTGACAAGACGGCAAATAGGTATCTTCATTCTTCACATCTCGTTTGCATAACAAAGAATATATACTCCTGTGGAATTTCTTGAGACTACACCGCTCCGTGAGGCTGAGCTTACCACCTCAAGGACCCGAAGTCCAGCTTGCCTCTACCAATAATAAGTCGCAAATGTAATCCAGCCAAGGCCGCTATCTGAGCCTGATAGGTGAGTTGGTGGGAAGAGTTAAAATGTTAGTGCTCGAGCTAAGAGCATCTGAGATGTTGTGGGCAGATTTGAAGGTGGCGGGCGATTGCATAGCCCACAGTGTGGTGTGTTAAGGCTAACAGGTAGGGTTAGCCGAAGGCGATTTTGCACCGCACTGAACTGAAGAGACTAACACCTTGGTAATGCCGCTCCTGCCATCGGGTATGTAAGGGGAGCGAATTCTGGTGTTTTCAGAGAACCAAGTTGGTTGACGGGAGGCTGGCCAAGGCTGAGGCTTGGGCTGGGACACGACACTTGATACGTGTTGGCTGACTAAACAAGAGCCGTGGCAGAGTCCTTGTGCTGCTCCCAATCTTGAGCCAGATTTACTTATCTTCCGGAGCGCGTGTGCGATACGCAGAGTCTAGATTGAGAGTAAATCACACGCGGAGTCATCTTGTATTAGTAGGAATTAGTACTTCGCTTGCGCTGGAAGTACCAATCGACCTAGCGGCCTAGCATGAATTTGTCCGCGACAGCACGCGCAGGGCTGATAATGGCTTCTAAGTATTAGAGGGGGTTCTTAGGCTTAGATAAGGCTATTCATAAAATTATATAGCGATAAATGCCTAACGTTGGCGCTGTAGAAAGGGAACTCTGTTATGTAGAAGCATTCTTAGCCATTTGTGAGATCTAATACCATCCCAATCATACTCATGGTGGCATCATGGTGTACTACTTAGAATATTCCTGTTCGACAAAGGCGCAACCCTGCACTGAGAGCAACAATTTACAGATGACAATTGACTTCGTATATACGCCACGGGTTTCCTTATTACAATCACTGGACGATATCTTAGTCAAATTGTTGCTAGCGTGTATTTATACACCTAGACCTGCCAGAGTTATCTTATTTGATCAAGACATCTTCTCAAGATCTATACATTGTACCTTACACACTTACTAAACGATGTATGTAGTGCAAATCCTCCTAGCATCCTTAGCGGCTACAGCTCGAGCCCATATGTCGTTGTGGTATCCGCCCCCTCTTGGTGGTAGTAAAGCAGCCAACTCTTTCACAACACAGGTAGATAAGGAATACAACTTTCCAATTGGATGCTGTGACTCTCAGGGCGAGCCAACACTGCCTTCCCCTGGCGATTGTCGTGGTCATCTCGACCTTCTAGATACAGAGGAAGGCAGTCCGCAAGTCACATGGAAACCTGGCCAGGACGCCTACTTCCAGTTATCCGACCACATGTATAGTATCGGTGTTCCAGGATCAACTCACTACGGAGGAAGCTGCCAAGTTGGCTTCTCTGTGGACAAAGGTCAGACATGGAAAGTCGCAGCTTCATACCATGGGAACTGTCCCCACAGGGACAAAGACGCGCCACAAGTCTTTAAGTTTAAAGTCCCTTTAAACATACCGACAGGTATAGCAGTCTTTGCTTGGGTCTGGTTGAACCGGGAGCATGAATTTTTCATGAACTGTGCAGCAGTTCAGATTAGCTCGAGCTTTAGCAGTACCACCACCAGGCGCATTTATACAAGCTTTAAAACTGTTCCTACTACACATCACCCTGCACTACCAGATCCTACTAGCAAAGCACTACGGGAAAGTGAACAAGACAGATCGAACGGCTGCGATAAAGACTCGACAGGCCGCAGTAGTTCATACGGTCCAAGGCTGGCTAGAAGTAAGTGGAAATACATCAAACATCGTCATAATAGGAAGCATTCTAGGCACCACTACCATATTCACAAATCTGACGTCTTAGCATCGCCTGAAAAGCTTCATCACCGGTCAGAGAACACCGCTTCCGATGTTTGCGATTGGAACAACGCGCCCAGGATGGAAACTAGCTACTATTCTATAGATGCAAGATGTGCACCTAATGCTAAGCTGAAGAACCCAAAGAGTGATGACTTTGAGATTGGCTGGGGTAATTTTTGCGGCGTCGTTGAGGGGGACAAAGAGTACACTATTCAGAACATCGGGTGTTAGGGTTAGAGTCCTAGCAAACTTGCGAAGATGCTGTCCCAGTCCTGTTTATCGCAAAAATGATATTTAAATAGTACAAGTCAACAAATATAGTAGTGGACTAGCTAACATGATTCATACACGCATTATTTATGTAATACTCTCTTATAACTCCTAGCTTATGTGTTACTCAAAGACTTTGTGTTACCTTTTCGATCAAACTAATGCACATCGAATACAACAGATCGCCTATATTCGTACATATAAGCAAAGAAAGCATAGTTAATACACAGCAGCCCTGTACAAGGAGCAGCCGCAATGCTTTCCAGTTACGAGCACATCGCTGAGAAAGATGGCTATTAAAGACGGTTGTTGTACTTCTTCTGAATATATCCGCAACCTTTTTCGGATGATATGGGACTTCTAGTTCCGTCACGGTGAATGTTGGTGGAGCAGATTGACATGCTGTAGCTGCAATGACACCGAATCGGTCAAGTACATAGTCAACTGGCAAATCGGACTCGGCAATCGTCTCATACTTCAACGTATATGCTCTGCGGCCTTTCTTTTCAAAGTCGGTTTTGCCTGTCCAAGCAGCAAGGTGCTCCAAGTCGACTAGGTAGAATGGATTTGCTGTCTTTCTTAGAAAACGCCCTTCTGTAATTCTTCTCAGAAGCAGTTGGTTCAGCTTAACCCGGGCGTCTTCCCAGACAGGATTTTGAGAAGCAGCAGCTGCAAGTACATCGCAGTACTTGAGTCCCATCGAAGCCCACTCGTAGTATTGAACTTTAGTCATGCCCCAATATTGGGCTGTCTTAACAAGCGGAGCGAGACACTGCTTACTCGTTCTGATTTTAGATTGTGCCGTATTGACGAGTTGCTCCCATTGCTTCGCATCGAAGAGAGAATCTAGCTGCGGCTGCTCGTTCTTTCTATAACGGTAACACTCTTCTATCATAACCTCGTTCAGTTTTGTAAACAGCCAGTCAGCTTGTCTTTGTTGCGAAAGCATCTCGTTGCGTATAGCCATGCATGCTTGGAATTTTTCGTCTTCAGATGATATAGAGCGTAATGAGGACTGAAGTGCCCGAATGTTTGGAGAAGCGGGATTGAAGTCGAGTATATCGGTACTTTGAAGGCTTAGCGCTGAACAGATACTTCACTGTAAGACCTACTTTTGCGTTGTTTTTTCCATCTTGTGCAAAGCCAAAAGCCGGATGATGGACTATTATGCCCTTCAGCAGCTTATATACCTTAGGGGCTAGTGTTTTCAAGAGGTTACTAACCCTTGCTCATGATGTGTACGGGGATCAGGTACTATTGGTAGTGCTACGCACGTGCCTCTGCGTTATTCTTTTATAACGCTAGGGACGCGACATCTGGCTGATCTTCTTGCCCTTACATTATTGACATATAGCTACCAAATCTTTGCTCATGAGATCCCGAACTACCGAACATACATACAACGCAATTTCGACATAGTGTCTTACATTTGTAAGCGAATGCTCTATTCTTGATGTAATCACTCCATCCCCCATCCGAAAAGGCTGACAGAGATGTTCAGGCTGTCGCCACTCACCGGTTAACTACAGCCTTCCGTTTTTCGAGATGCCCCCATTACCACCACTTGTGTATGACCAAAAGCTCGCCAACTATAATCGACAAGAAGATATTGCAAGTAGCGATGTTGTGGAAAGCGTTGTGTCTCTTGGATACCTTCTCTTTCTTTCGCCGATCCGAAGAAGAATCTTGGATAGTGTGTCCGCCTTCGACGCAGCAAAGTTAGTTAACTTGAAGTTGTGCGTTTTGACTGCGAAGGAAAAAGAAAAATATCTCAAGCCGATCCGAGATTTGGTGTGGGATGTACCTGCGGTCGAAAGACTTTCACGAGAGGGCATGAAACTGATGTTGCTTGGAGACGGCGCTCATGCACTCGAGCAGCGATTGCACGCGACAGAACGTTATTTGAATTCTTGTGGGAACGAAAGGCTTACAATCTACCTATTGGGTACATTTCCAGTATTCACGCCGACAGCGACGACGCTCGACTCACTAGTCGAATTCAGCACTACAGGACATTCTAACCTCGTACGATTTTACTGTGACAAGTATCAACTGGGCCGCGTTCGCGCCGTTCCAGACACAGATGCGAAGGGTGACTTTCTTATGAGTTTCAGTGTACCAATGCAAGCGTCTACTGATCCTACCAAGGGATCTTGGTATAAGGTAGACGATGTTCCAGATCGTACGGTTGATTTATGGGTGTATGTGCCTTCTTTGCGCGATCGTCTTTGCAAAGAAGTCAGGCTAATACCACTGGACGTGCTGCGGATGGTGAGAGCAAACCCACTGCTCGTGTCATTACGACGTTCTTCTCTAAAACCAACATTCATTACGAAGTGTATAAAAGGAAAGTTTCGCGGTGCAGCACACTGCGCTTTGCTCAGTTCACTAGGCGTCATATTGACACTGAGCCAGCTATTTCATCTATATGCAGGACGCTGTCGGTTGGGGAAATCGTTGCTCACAGCTGCGGGTGTACAGTCTTTAGAAGGAACTCCCGTTGATCAGTTTCCAAGCGACGAAGTTTCTGCGCGACAGCTGATCGCACACTATAGAAAATTCCCGTTTGGTGTTGATTCAGCTTCGCGCGCAGCGATCGATTTCACGCAAGTGCCGAACATACGGCTCTTCCTCGACGTAGCCAAGTTTAGAACCTTGGGCGGGAGAGTCACTCTTAGCTAATCTTCGAGTCGTTGTACCTATTCTCAGAATGCCCGTGATGCCATCTAGGAGTCGAAGGCAATTAGATAGAGTCACGTTACATAAGCATGTGACATTTAGAGCCTAGTCTATTTCGACTTAGACTGTTTTCGACTGATAGTGATGGATGTAAGGGACTGCGCTCTGGGGAGCAAACGCTAGGTAGTTAAGCTGTGATTCAATAGTTCTAGAACCTTATCAAGGTTTAGAGGCATGCACAACTACATAGGATTACGCCTCTAAGAACATAGCGAGGACCTATAGTATAAAAGGTGCTGTTTTGGTCTTCTGTGGTCCGCTTCTAGCACACTCGTAGTAAGCCTAGAACGGACTTGCGCTGCCCTACTGCATAAATGTACCTATGAAACGTCGCTTTATCCCACTAGATGCCAGTGTAAACATGTTCAACACTTCAAGTAAGACAATTTCGGCTGTCACGGCTGTTACTGTCGTGCTTGCTATCTCTCTCGCCACCACGACTTTCTGGATCCTGCTCTCAGAACAGGCCGCTACGGCAGGACTGCTCACTCTGAACGTAAGCCACCCCCAGGCCTACACGTTAGACCGATATAGCAAGCTAAAATAGCCCAGTTCAACCTCACCGAAACGCCTCCGCCAGGCCTTTTACAGCGCGACCCACAAGACATACAGCGTGGGGCTAGCGGGATCCTAAACATTGCAGCCAAAAAGACTTCCGATGTCACTGGTGACACACAGAGCGCAGTGAGCTCAGCAGTAACCTCTCTGCCCCAGATCGAAGATTATGTGCCGTTCAACTGCTCTTTCGGTATGATCGTGTTCTGCGTTGGGTTCAAGCACAGTCGGTCCTGCAGTAGCTCGCAACTTACTATCTCGGCATTTGTACTGGACAAGATCCAGGACTTACCAAATCCGCTTAGAGATTCCATCCAAGCGCGTGTGAAGGATCTGTCTTCATTGCCAGGCAGCCTGGACAGCCTACCTACAGCGGTGCTTGACTGCTTGATTGCAGGTTCTCTCTCATTTATCACTCTGCTACTGCTGTCTTACTGTGTTGCATATGGGTATCCCAATCGTTTTGCGAGTATCGTTCGAAATATTGACGCTAGGACGCAGACAATGGTTCATTTGGGCGTAGGTTTTATCTGCTGCGCGCCCTATGTCGTGCTTGTTGCTATGCAACACAGCGTCACTAGGGCTGTCGAAAAGCTGCCAGCCTGGGTAGAAATAGAGGCGGGCAAGATATTTGGCATCAGTATTGCAGCGATGGTCTTTGCCATCATATTCGCTGCGTTTTTAGCGATTTTCTCATGCTACATCCGTGCCCAAAGCATAAGAGAAATGTCTAGGATAGGGCCGTCAGCACATTCTCTTGCTGATGTCACTGGATCACCTATTAGCACAAGATACAATGCGTAGGAGTGGAACTTATCGTAAAGTCAGCCAGTGCTACCTTGTCTGCTATATCATTGAGGGAGGAAAGTTCAGTTTACGGAATATTTGTTTGAGATTTAGTGCTGTCAAGTATTCAATGTGGAGCAATTTTCCAATACAAGTGTCGAATGGAGCCCCATGCGCTAAGAACTCCTGTTCTCTCTGGCCCATATCTGACTAGTTGGCAAGATAACCAGTCTAGAATATTATCACTTTGAATGCGTACGTTGCAAGTAATAAGTAGAAGGATGTGTTCCCTTGAATCTGACTACGAGTGACTAGAAACCAATTGGGATCACGCTGGAGGAAGCGATTGTCGCAGGGCTAAGAATCACGTGGTTGGCATCACGCCCAGACACTGTCATCAGCGATGGCACCCCTGATGCGATGGAAGGACTATGTATCAAAAAAATGCCTCGCTATTAGAGATAGCAAGACGGCGTATTTACAGCAGGACTGTATGCAACAAGTATAAAGTATGGACGGATTTCGTTATTACGCCCGTTGCGAGCAGCCCAATTATGCTTTCTTACCAGTTCTTTTAGTCAATTCTATATACCTCGTCTAGATCGTGACGGTATAACAATCGCTTCTAATCCGGCAATATGTAGGAACTCTGTACATAGCTTAGCGCGAGCAGTCAGCTGAAGAGCAATCAAAATGATTGGTTAATCTTCAGTCTTATGATGACGAAACTTTGAGAATGCTGCCTGAAGTGGTGAAGCCGCAATCGCTGTAGTCTTGTCGCTGTAGGTGACGCTGTGAACAGTGAGTTGCGGTATCGTGCCGTTGATTCAAGTAAGGTTTACTTATGCGACCGCAGTCAAGACTGCACTATGTGGCCCCGTCTAACGATCAAACGGTGAAGTAACTACTTCGCAAGCACTTGTTGATTACCATAATAGTCAATCCGCACTTCTTGGGTGCGTCCCCACGTGCCACAGCCGCGATATAGCACGCACGTATAGATGTATATATGTACACTGATATGCAATGTAGAATTTTCTGCCTGCGAGCTGACTACATCTTGGTTCTTTAACACTGTCAGCCTTGGGCTCGCGCAAAAAGCGTATAGTATCTAGGCTCATACCCCAACAGCGCATCTTATTTGTAGCTTATGCAGCTGCTTCTTAAGGTTCACCGCGCCATCCCGAACCCATTGTTTTTTTCTCCACCAACCTGCTCTACCATATATCCGACATGTTAGAGAACTACCAACAGCAAGACGGAAGATATGGTGCGCAGGCAAATCCGTACGGTGGTGGTGACGGCTATGGCTCCGCCAACCCATATGGCGGAAGTGTAAGCAGTCGCATTCCCAACACGACATCACGAGACTGATGCGACAGTATAGTACGAACAGTCGCAGCAACAGCTCAATTCTCTAGCGCCCTTCCAGTGCCATAGCGAGTCGAATTACTCGCAGCCATCGCAATACTCACAAGCTGGTGCCTTGAGCCCGTCTAACACGAATGCGCTAACCGTCCCTCATACAGACGTGCCTATGAGCAACTTGCCTACGCACGACAACACTATAGAGTCGCCACGAGCCCAGCCTCTGAGCCAAGATTACTTCTTTGCGCACATTAGAGGCGTAAAGGTGCGAATTGGCCGGCTAAACTCGGATATCAAAGCTATTGCCAGCATCCACCAGCGCATGCTTTCCTCGCCTGACAACCGCTCTAGGGCTGAACTCGAAGAAATTGTAACCAACATGCAGATCAGAAACACACAAATCAATGACGAGATTAATTCTCTAGAGAGGGATGCTGTGCGCGATCCTAATGGTAAAATAAAAAGGTCTCAGGTTAAAACGCTTAAGCGGATGTTCAAGAGCCAGCTCGAGGATCTCCAGAAGGAGGAAGTTAATTATTCCAAGAGGTACCGCGAAGATATTGGAAGGCAATACCGCATAATCAACCCAGACGCCACGGATGCCGAGGTCGAAAAGATCGTCGATTCCGATTTGGGCGACGAGGGCATCTTTACCCACGCTGTGAGTGTAAATTAAGAGTTGGATATCAAGGAAACCGTCGCTGACACACCCTTAGCTCAAATTCAACCGTATTGGTCAAGCGGCCAGTGTTCTCGACGCGGTAGATGCCCGCCATAACGACATTCAGCGTATCGAAAAGACCATGAGCGAGCTTTCTTTGCTGTTTAACCAGCTCAACAAGCAAGTCAACTACCAGGATCTGCTAATCGCAGAAGCAGAAGTCCAGACTGTGCAAGTCGAGGACAATAGCAACGAAGCAAACCAACAGCTAGGCAAGGCCATCAAGTCGGCAAAGCGGGCTAGAAGACGTAAATGGTGCATCTTATTAACTATTATCACAATTCTTTTCGTGATTGCTCTAATTCTTGGATTGTACTTTAAGTTGAAACCCAAATAGATGAATATAGCTGAGAACAATGCGAGTTTATAGCTGCCATATATACAAAACACAGCTACGATAAGAGGAAAGAATAAAATAGGGTGCTTGTATTGTGAGAGAAGAAGGGCAGTTCATTTCTTATCCTTTGAGCAATAGGAATAGCTATCAGCGTGCGCAGCATGAAGATGCAAGTAGACGGCGCGTGATACTACACCCCAAAGCCACATTGGGTTTCCACCTACAGACCCAACAACACCCACTGACTAACTAGGAAGTCAGTTAATGCAGATTTCTCAATAGGCAGTAGGCTCTAAAATTAGCAAAAGCGTATGATATAACTATATAGCGGCCAACCTAGAATAGCGAGCCCGTGAATCGGTCGGCTACTGCCTGGCCACAGACTATAGCAGAAGCGTGAAAATCTATTTACTCGCTATACTCTTCGTGAAACTTAAGATATTGTACTTCTAGTTTTCAATAGATTTGCATTTAGATAGACACATTAGCAACCTAGGGGGCAGTTTCGCTTAGCACTTATATAAATGCATAGCTGCAATTAGCCAAAAGAAGAACAGTGAAAATAAGAACAAAGGGGTAACAACAATCGGTAATAGGAAGCCTTATTTGTGTTTGGAATTATTGTTTTAAGTTAACGTGAGTATTGAAGAATGTTGTTATAGTTGCTGATGTCGCAAGTCTTTCGCCACACTATCATTTTCCATGTTACTTGGAATCCAGTGAGGATCCATAACTCGTACATAGATTGAAGCCAGACGGTGGAAAAATCCATATATACATACACGCCCTCTACCGACGAACAGGCTGGTGACTAACAAAGTGCTTCGCATCGTTCGTCGACCTTCGGAAGTGACGAGACTCCAGTACAAGGCAAACATGCAAACAGGATCTGTAATCGTTAGCAGAGCAATTTCATAGTAAGTCTACGTTGTAAACAGAGTGCATATCTGCAAGAAGAAGCAAATAGTCATATTAAGACCTACGTTAGATAATAACTCAGACCTCACTTTGCCATTTAATACACCTGTCTTGTATTCAATAGTATCCCAAGTCACTAGAGCTAAAGCGTTGAGGGCAGAGACGATTAGGAGATAGCCGGCCATGTCGAGGTTTTCTCGGAAGCGAAATTGGCGCATGTGGATACGCACGGCGATAAAGGCGTAGACTAGGACCAGTAGGATCCATTCCAAAACCTTGTTTTAGTCAGCCATGTCTCGTAACCACCAAAATTGTTAGTAGCCTACTATGCAATATACTCCGCTGATGATGTATGTCATTTTGAGTGTTAAGAGTCATATGTTATGTATGTGCACGAGCGTATGATAGGGGTGAAGAACAGATCCAAGTTAGAGTGATAGGCAAAATAGCACTATAGGTGATAGATGACAGACATGCAGTACTTGTAAAACACAAGCACATGTTACGTAAAGCCTAGTATCACCTAATCAGCGTGTCCTGCTGAGCAAGGACCCTTTCAAGCCTTCTGGGCTGTGACTCATACGTGGTTCTTAGATTTGAGGGTGCCTTATGATGCTGCATGTATGTAGTTATACAGGAGATTGTATTAGATGGAGGGCTACAGTAGAGTCTAGGCTATAGAGCTATCCATGTACAATGTTCGTTGCCTAAGCAACAATCAGGCCGGGCAGGTGGGTAAGCAAGGCCGTAGACGAGAAGAAGAGGCAAAGGGCGTTCAGCCCGTTACAATGGACGTTAATCGCGAACTATGTAGTCACAAAGTCTAACAGTGGTTCTATTGGAGTCCAGACTACCTGCTTGACTATTCTGAACAGCCCAAGGATAAATACATGCTGTTCAATTAGTAGTCCGCGTGCATAAATTGAAGCCCTTCCAAAAATAAATTTGCCAATAGAGCAGGCCTCGTTATCCCAGGTTTTCGAATATATAATGCAGGTCAGAAGAAGTTCTTTACAAGTCAAGTCTGCAGCTTAGAATCAAACTTTCACTTCACCTCAATATGCGGTGCCGACAATGGTGTTTTACAAGCGCATTATTGGGTAATGTCTTCGCTCAATCAACAGTGATGATAGATCTTCAGCACAATCGGGTTGAACAAGCTGATTGCCCGCGAAGGGTAGGCAAAACATTAGGCGCTCACGAACAAAGTTAACGGCTAGGCGAAGTTGCACTTTTGCTCAAAAACAGCATGGAGTGAGTGTGCTGCACCAATCATATCATCTGACCGCTGCGTAGCCGCCGACAGGCTTAACGATGTCGCATCTATTGCAATCGACTTAGGCTTGTGCTGCCAATTCTTTACGTATGTCTAGTTTATGCTGAGTCTATAGTTTAATCTCTAACTAGTTATTTAGTGACGACAAATGTGATACTGTATACAAATATGGAGGAGAAGGACTGTGGTATCCCGGCCTCAAGGAAGTATCTGGTACTTTCAGAGAGCAGGTGGGCAGTTACATGTGTAGAAATGGGACTACTTCATCAATTTGCCCTGGGGAAGGTGCTGGAAATTTAGTTGCTTCCGCGAATGCGGCTACTCCCATTGCTAATTAGTAGTTACATGTTGCACGCGTTGGTGCGGTGGAATTCTGATCTATTGTGTCTGCTATCTACTATCTTCATTTATTAGTGATCTATAGCTATTGCTTTATCTTGTTGAGGTGGTGCATCCTTGTTGCCGTTACCGTGGCTTGTTGCTTTGGCTCAGCTGAAATCATTGCTTTCGCGGCCTTGCATATGCCGTGATATATTGCAATCAGCGAATAACGCCATTTGAAAATAGAGTCTGCGCTCTATCACCCCACAAACGCCCCAAACGCCCCAAACGCCCCAAACGCGCAAAGAAGCGGGGAAGGGCTCAACGTGACCATCTGATCGGTAGTTATCGGAGATTCATTCCAGGCTATTCACAAGCTGAACTGAAGTGAATGAGAGAGGAGTGTGTGTTACATATATGCCACACATTTGCTAGGTTTTTCGATTGCTTACATATGACCTTATGACCAAAGAAGCGACAGGGGAGTAGCAGAGAGGCTGTGGAACAAGAAGGGGCTCTATCGCCTGTTCAGTGCATCCCTGCCTCGTAAAGCAGTATTTACTACACAATTTCGTGCAGTAAATGGCACGCAATGTCTTCATTGTTACCTTGCTCGAGGAACAAACCACAGGTCGGATGTCGCAGTCTTTGAAAGGCCGTAGAAGCTATGACTTCAGCTGAGCCAAAGCAACAAGCCATTGTAACGGCAATAAGGATGCACCACCTCAACAAGATAAAGCAATAGCTATAGATCACTAATAAATGAAGATAGTAGATAGCAGACACAATAGATCAGAATTTCATCGCACCCACGCGTGCGACATCGAACCAGAGCATCTGTCCAAATTTCCAGACCGGTACTCCTTTCTACGACACTTGTCGACTACGGTTGTGGCAAATTAGCACTTGCGTATCCAAATAACATGTGACATGTTGAAACCATAGTTCTTCTCCCAAACTACCGTTCTATTGGTTGAGGAGATTAGAAATATCTGCTTACGGCATACTCTAGACTCTTGGCTGCGTGTTCTAGACCCTACAGTGGTCCAGTATGACCCTTGCCCACGGTGCAGTCTAGACCGTAATCTCGCCTCGCTCAGCTGGCGTCTGTTCGGATACCCGATTTGGCATTACATATCTTCGCTTACCAACTGTTTGAGCCTAGTCTGAGAATACGCGTGTTCGTGTGATTGTGCAAGGATACGACATAGTCCTGAATGCGGGGTCGACAGCTTCCTGGCGTGACACACAGGTGAGGATGAAGTTGCCGTTACCGAGATCCGATCCGGATCGATCGCGATCATTTGCAGCTGCTACAGTTCAATATTGCGGCACCGTTTGACGACCTCCTTTTTCCTCTGATGTGGCCTGATCATCGTTCGATACCTGCCAGAGTGAAACCTCTGTAGCATTCTGGGGAAGCTGTTTTGATAACGAACACCTGAGATAAGATAAGAAGAAGAGACGCTTATGTGTGGCATCGATATTTTTCTTGATATTAATTGTAAGTCTAGGCAGTGTTTGTATCATGGATGTTAGCTGATTGTTCTTTACAGCAAATCTTTCTTATTATTCAACACTATCAAATTTCTTCGGATACTTTCTACAATCGGACCATCTAGCATGGAAGTTCGAGCGCAAACGTTTCCCTCGAGATCCAGCTGTGCTCCCCAGGAACTGACCGAAATGGCTCTGGATCGCATGAATCCAGGCGAGCAGGAATTCTTACAGAATCTCAGCTCCACTGAAGATTGGTTCACCATCGAAAACACCTCGTATCAGGCATCATCGGGTACGTCATCACTTTGGCTCACGGACGACCTGTCCGTATCGTGTAACTTCACGGACTCAAATATATTCTTCGTTTTGGAACCGTCTATCGAAGCTCAAAGCGAGCTCGGTCCTTCTCCTACGGCCAGGCAGACAAATTTCACGAGTGCTACGCCACCAGCAGAACCCCACAGTTTGACGGCTCTTTCATATGATGAGTCACCCAGCATCATCACTAGTAGCGAAACTTCTCTCATCTGGATGCCTGAGAACAATGTTGTGTCGCCAACTTTGCCGGGTGCTTCACGTCAAACTCGGCAGGTTAAGAAGGGGCTGGCTTCAGTACCGAACGCATCCCGCAAGCGTGGTCGACCACGGAAAGATTGCCCATCACCTGAGACTTTTAGTCCAATTGCACGACGCAATTCAGACGGGACGAGAAGGATTCCTCACAACGAGGTTGAACGGAAATATCGCGAAGGCCTCAATGCGTCATTTCGAAAACTGCAATGTGCAGTGCCTTCGATTTCCCAGCTATCAGACGCAATTATTGGCACAGCACGGCCGAGCAAAGCTGTTGTTATTGATAGCGCCATCGAATACATCCACCGGCTCGAAAAGGAACGTGACAAGGCACGCTCTCTCCTAGAAAGATTTAGGAAATGCAGCTCTTGCACAAGCGAGGATGGATTTTCCACATAGAGGCGACGTGAAAGCACTAATGGGTTCACGGTCAGAATATTTACTTTTTCGTCTGCCGAACAAGACGTCTAGCATAAGAAGACTCTCTAAAGGTACAGGGACCACTCACTCTCCTAAGAACTGCCTGTAACTCGCTTCTAGCCATGTCAGGTCTATCCATCTCGGTCCGCTACATGAGAGCCGCCAACACCTACGAACAGGGACGAGAACTAGTCCTGCCCTTATCGAATCGTGCTTTTTGACTAGGCAGATAGGGATAGCTGGTAGCTTCCCTAGATCCGAGTGCTGCTCGAGGGTAGCACTAGCTGGATGCAAGCCATCTGAACCGACAGGCTTATCCACCCTATGATATATACCTGAGTTGGTTCGACTACCCTATATATCAGACCCTGATCAATGGCTGTCGTTTGGTTACGAATCAACATATTCGCGTAGAGAGAGAAGTCTTCAAGCACCACAATCTGAAGACCTCGGTAGAAGGCGGTCGTTGGTAAGGAGCGCGTGGCCTGCTGGTCCCCCACAGAAGGTAATGTGCACCTCTCGTTGAAGCCCTCGTCGAAGTTGCCGTTGGTTTTACTCAACTGTAGCTCCGCCGAACCCACATGTCTTCATCTACTTCGTGGTTCTAGCTCGCAAAGCAGTTCTTGGGTGCCCCATCTTGAGGCCGCGGCTTGAGCGGCCTAGCAGGATAGTGGTTCAGCAACCTCTTTCAAGATCAACCGCTCTTCTCTGGGGCTTTGGTGGCAGCAGCAGTTGTCGTGTACTAGACTATCTGATCCCCTACTGCTCTTGGACACTATTATTGGACGCATTGGAGACAGTATCTATCGAGGGAGGTTAGGTATTTCGAGAGCTACAGCTAGTTAGCAGTTTCGCAGATTTGCAACACTGTAGGTGTTTACATATTGACTAGGATAAGGTAGGAAGTTAAGTTCTTCGTTGCGTCGAGTTGCACGTGCTTAGCTTCGCTCGTAAGGCTGGTCGTTGTATACTGTAAGTCGTTTATGGATAACTATTATACACTGTATTAGTAGCTCCTATTTGTTTAAAAATGCGAATGATATAACTCATAGAGAGCGAGCGTTCTATATCGGTAGCTGTGTAATATTGAAGCCTATGTTTTCTAAGTTCCATAGCTTATGCAGCAGCAGCTCCTTGGTTATTCGTAGTAGCGAGTAGGTATAATAGTGACTCGATGTTGTTAAGCTCGTTAGTGATCTGTGTAAGATGCCGTTTAGAAGAGATCAGCGGGTTCTTAGACTTAGTATAGATGTAGTTCTGGTCTTGAGAGCGACAATAATTACATTTTGGTCGACAACTACTGCACTAGTGATTATTAGGTGAATCTTTAGCAATAGAAATCAAGTAGAGATTGATACCTTTCTCTTGAGAGCTCTGCAGTTGTTGCAGGCCATCATTACTCTTGCGCGAGATACACACCGATATGTTGCTGCTCTAGAGAACGGCGATTCTTGACTACTACCGGACGTTGTCCATCTGTCGGATACAAAGGATATACGTAACAATAGCGTGTTCTCATAGCTAGACATCGCAAAATGGCGGCCAGGTCTGGCGTAGCTCCACTTTCTTATATTTACGCCCAAGAGGGTTGTTGGCAGGGTTCTTGCAACGAGGAGCAGCTGCACAAGCGCTGGAATCTCTCCAACCCCAAGCCACTTATGTGTCTATGAATTATGACTTGCGAGACTGTACAAAAGATCAGTTCATGTGAAAGTGAGGGAGTCAATACGTCCCACTGCTAGTTTCGGAATTGTTTACATATTTCTCAGGCCATTGCGTGATGACTTGCTACAATTTGGGGTGCGCAGCCCTAAACCTTGGATCAATCAACGTCAACGTCAGCGCCCTTGTCGAGTAGTAGCTTTACCACCACCTTATTGCCTCCTTCTGACATCTATGGTATATCTAGCAGTCCTTATACTTACATTTCTCTATAACCATAGTATAGTTACCAATAATTGCGCTTAGTCGATTTGAGCTTAGAGACTGTACAAGGTAATACGGCGATAGATTTGTAGTTATCCTATTGGGATATTATTTTTTAGATACAGCGTTAGGAGTAGTCGAGCGCGTTGGCGATTTTCGCGGTGATACACTAACCTCAGCTTGGACAAGAGCGTACACGCGTTAGGCTTCTGATAACTCATATCCTCGCATCCGATTTGCAGAGATTTTAGGCGAATTAGAGCTCATACTGATGTAGTAACGTGGTGTTAAAGATATGGTAGATCTCAGCTGATCGCGTTGATGTTGCGCGGCCCGTGCGCACGCGAACAGATCGCTGTCCTAGTAGTTATAGTAACTATAACTAGTTGTAACTAGCTAGTTAGAATAAATATTAACTGGTTACAGTTAACGTACCTTACGGGCGAGTAGGCCACACGGGCGAGCGGGCTACTCCAAAACCCTACCAAAAAATCCTAAATTATAGGTTCTATATCTCAACAATTATTATCTGAACCTCAGTCTCATGTCATCTACGTTTGCAAATCGTAGGCGATCGGTCCGTCAGGTCGTCACTGCAGCTAAGTTGAACCCTCCCTCGCAGCGTAGCCCTTTGCACCCCAACCCCGCATGAGATCGCCTACGATTAACGATGTATATCTGAAATTACTCAAGCTGGCGTTCCGTGTAAATGCATGCTTATGCTAGTTAATCGGTGGGAGATGGCCTGATATCACCCCAACCTGGCGTGATGTGGCCATAGTCGGCCTCAGTGCCGACGAGCTATTGGTGTGATGCTGAGCAATTCCGCCTGTTACACTTCTAACCGCGTATTGAATGCGTCCTCGTGCATGCCAAGCCATCCCAGATACAGCTGAATACTAGAGAAATATTATAAACTTACCTTTACACGTGAAAATAGCCTGTAAAGCCGGATCCAGCCTAATATCACATCAGTTATGGAATCCCAGATATATAATTCTACTGCACTTTAGGAGCTACGTCTATGAGCTTGTTCTCAGTACTATGGATATCTTCCCACTTCCACCCAATCTCGTCTCCTAATTTATCCCAGTCGGAATTCTTATTTCTACCCCAAACTTCATATCCCCATTCCCATTCAATGGCATCGAACAATTTCGAGCAGAGTCTGTTGGGCTTGACCAACTCTTCACCTTGGGACCAGGCCATCTTTCTGAGCAGCCAAACCATCAACGATGCCTTCAAAAACATGTTTTACCTTGCAAAAGCCACAGACCCGAAGTTCAAGCCCGTCTGCTACATTGACATGAATACCAGAGTCGGAAAGATTCAAGCAACATTGAAACCGTCCACCGTTATTCTGAACGTGGAGCAGCCAAAGGGCCCCCCCATTTATTTTCAATGGAACATAGACTCCGGGGTTATGTCACTGTATACTTCAGATGACCCAAATGATTATACCACCACCGACTTCAATATTTCTGGCTGGACAGTGGCTTTTACCACAAGAATGGGTGAGGAAACTTTGCCTACTGGCAGTGAGCGCTATAATGCGATCATGCAACGCATGGGTAACCCAGCTGGTGATTTTTCACTTGCATCCCTGTTCATAGACATTGAAGCAGGAGCGAACCGCTATAGGGAAGGTTCAAACTTTTGTGGCACTGATTGGGAAGCTATCCAAAAGAACAACCCCGTAGTCGAGCGAAATTTCAATTTCTTGTGCGACGCATGGGCAGTTGAGATGAGAAGAGGGTGGCACACGACAGTGGCTTCGCGACTATGCACCAACAAGCCGGAGACAGGTAAGCCCATCACCCCATACGTATTCCCGGCCCGGATCCAGGGTGCAGACTAATAATCTCTCTTAGTGAATCCAAATGTCCCGACATTCCCCCCCACCTTCGTCTGCCATGACCTGTACGGGTGGCGCGAGACACCGACATCGGCCTGCTCCAACACGTCTACGGCCAATGCGCTGTGCTACCTCATCATGACCCAGAACAAGAAGGCTCCTCAAGAGAAGGTGATGCCCTACACCGGCACTTGGGTGACCACCAAACCGGGGATGCCAGCGCGGGATGCCCTCATGTGCATCAGCTACGACCAGTTCTGGGAGTCGTGGTTGCTACCCAAGCTCCAGCGCATCAACAAATACATCCAGGTGCAGCCAGAAAAGTTGACTTTCGAACCCGATGGCTACAGCAATTGCAAGTATGTTCTCGGGTTTAAACCTGGGTTCTGCATGGAGCACCCCAACGAAGACGATAAGTACTGGCAGTTCACCCGGCAGTCCGACAACAGGACCTGGAAGTGGAAAGGAAATAACGATATCTTGCACTCGCAAAGAGAGTTCAAGAATCATGAATTCAAATGGACGTTAGACGAAGGCGGTACGTAATGATGCGCTCTGACATAGGGGATTATCATCCATTACTAACGAACAGAGCTCAACAGCGTCTGCCGAAACCACTCTCTCTTTCCAACCGAGCGCTGGAGAATATGGAGCAATCATCACATTGACTGGAACCGTGCAGATACACGCCTACTTGAACGGAACCGTTGCACTGACCTCATGGGGAACAGCGTGGTATGTAAAGCCCCCCATATCATGCGACTCTATTCCCTATCATCGCCTTCACTTCTCTAGCTTTGCTAACCACCTACACACCTCTTTTCTAGGATGTCATCCGAAATGAGGTTCGAAATAAGCTATTTAGCCACTAACGTCGACAACGGTGGCCTGCAAATCCACGAGTTGAAGCGTTTCGTCTCTGAGCCTTCCACGAAAACTAAGGGACCTACTGGTGTCATCAAATGCAATCCACCATGGAGCGATGTTGCCGCGGACACCATGGCTAACGTGAAGAACAATTTCAATTACTGCGTCAACTCCTTCGCTGATGAACTCCTTACTGAAATCAGTAACCAGCACAAGTTTGTGGTGCCTGGTGCTGGAGACTTTCTATGCAGCCGCGTCATGTTTAATAACCGTGGGGATCTGCTAGTGAATCTTGCACTCAATGGGTAAGTTTGTCTCCTTAATTTAGGCCTCTTGGCATCGCGCGGATATAGCGTAGCTGTCTATATGCTAAGCTCTGACTACACTGTAGGGCCACTCCCCCAAATACAAACCAACGCTTTCCCGCGCTTCTGGAAAGTGCTCCCAAGGCCCAGAAGCCAAGCAAAAGAATGGCCGAGTTCGCAGCGAAGTACCTTCCGGTCTCCGTCAGTAAGCTTTAACAGGGTCAGGGTCTCACTTTATAATACGATGAAATGGAGTCGGGTTCATTGAAATGTACTGCAAAGCTGAAAACTGCGCACGGACACATCGAGTCGGTTTCATTGAAACTTCAGAGTCAGTTTCTTTGCTCTTATCAAACCCAAAGATCGATGCAATTGAAACTAGTTGTGCAGTAGATGTGTCTATTTTATACAGAAATTTCAAATCTTTTGCAGTAGAATTGAGTGAGTAATAGCTGACCCTAACTAATATGGTGTTGATGTTCCTGGCTCGCTTAGGGTTGCAGGGGTAGCTAACCCTAACTTAGCCTAAAGTATGTACTATTAACCCTAAGTACAGCTAACCCTAATGAACCCTAAGCATGAGAAACCCTAATTAGATTTTGCCAGACTATAACGTACCCCACCGCTTCGTTGCTCACTTTTGCTAAGCCCCCATCAAAACATCTGCTCTACCCTAATGTCGCAACAAGTGCATTTAGAGCTCTCTATGTAATGGAGGTGAGCACCAATGCCCACTAAGTCAATACTACGTGACAAACCACTTGGCTACGCCAACCTACCAAAAGGTAAGCACGAGAATATTCTGAACTGAATATTCTAGTGTAGTATGATATATATAGGCATGTAACTCCGTTACACTCTAGTGAATGTCAGATACAGCTTGCTCTTCAAGCTCTCAAACAAGACGCGAATCTCTCACAACGACGCGCTGCAGCCATCTATAATGTAAGAGAGCCCTCTGTGAGGATCCTAGAACTATCTAAACTTGCTTTGACCTAATAGCCAATATGAAAGCTAAGTACGGTATCTAGGACGACGACACGTATAATTTTGACGAGACCGGCTTTATGATGGGCTAGATCACCCTAGGAGCAGTTGTTACAGCTTTAGAGAGATGTGGACGACCAAAGACTGTCCAGCCTGGCAATAGAGAGTGGGCAACAGTCATCCAGGGCATCAATGCGACTGGGTGGACGATTCCGCCCTTCATCATACTCAAGGCGCGCCACTACCTCTCAAACATGGTGATATAGCCCAGAACTGGGTTATTGGGGTCTCTGAGAATGGCTGGACAACCAATGGGCTTGGTTTTGCGTGGCTAAAGCACTTTAATAAGCATACAAAGAAGAAGAAGGTTGGTATCTACCGCCTACTTATTATTAATGGCCGTGAGCGCCACAACTCGCTGGATTTCCATAAACACTGCAAAGATCATGGTATTATTACTATTTGCATGCCTCCACACTCGTCCCACCTCTTGCAGCCTCTTGATGTGGGCTGTTTTGCCCCTTTGAAGCAGGCCTATGGACGTCAAGTCGAATCGCTCATGCGCAGCTAGATCAGCCATATCACCAAATAAGAGTTCCTACCTTCCTTTAAGCGGGCTTTTGACGCCTCATTTACTTCGAGCAATGTCTAATAAGGGTTTCGAGGCGCTAGACTGGTTCTATTTAACCTAGAACGGGTTATATCCACCCTTGATGCCTAGTTGCGCACTCTATTACCTCTACCTATCGATAACTAGCTTTAGATATCGCAAACCTCTAGTAATACCCTAGAATTAGGGCTACAATCGACGCTAGTAAAGTAGTTAATTTAAATACATGCAGATAGTTCGCTAATATCTATTGTGGAAGCCTTTAAAAAGGTTTTAAAGGGGGCAGCTATTATTGCGCATAAGCTAGTATTAGCGTAAAAGGAGATAGCTAAGCTTAAGGTAGCAAGTAAGGCTACGATACGATGAAAATTGTAAAAAAGAAAGCGGGTCTGGGCAGAGGGGACCTTAGCAGTCGAAGATAGGGCGTGCTTGACTGCTCTTTAGAACTTTAGCCCGCGTAGTGATGGGAAGAAGCTAAAGAAGCGGGTGCGCGCTAAAGTAGGTAAACTATCTCAACGGTGGTGTAGACGGTGTATTGGGACTAGGTATATCGCGCGAACGTGTAAGCAGGTAGCAGAAGTAGTCTCTGTATAATATTTTGTATCGCATTGCACTATACACACCCAAAGTGAGCTCTTTTGGGTTATGATGTGGTAGTTGTAGTGAGGACTTGGCAAAAGTGATGCACGAACCTGTGAGGTACGTTATTCGATATAACAAATCTAAAAATACCGCTCTAACTACTACTTGACACGCTCTGCTAGTTACTCAACATGCTCTACTACTCAGCACGCTCTACTACTCTTGTATTGCCTACTAGACTGGCCTCTGATCTGATAATTCTTCGATAGCAATATACTCCTACTCTTCAACGCTATCTAGCACTAGCACATCATACCAGACATCCTCTTCGTTAAGTAAAGTCTCTAGATATTCTACGCTTTAGAAGTAATTACTGCGCACAAACTCGCGAGTTACGCGGTTGAGAGAATTAGTAGACGCTTACACACACTACGTATCATTGCTGCTTAATTGCCCCACCGGCGCCACGACCAGCAGCAGCCATATTGTACCAATGTCTAGGGCATCCAGCACAATGGCGTTATGGTGCAGGATTTGACGGGTGTAGTTGAACAGTATAGATTATACAGAAATGTAGCTCCTAAGCGACTGTGGCTTGCAGGTATTGGTGCAGGAGGTGTTTACGCCCATCAGCTTAGGTGCGCCAGGGTTAGAAGGGGAGCTAGAGACAGGGGGCTGAAGCTGAATTGTGGGAAATTTGAAGGCGCATGTTTCACAGTAAGCTGCGGGGTTGGATGATAAGGGCGCGCAGCTGGTGGCAGAGATGTCAACAATCAAGCCAATCTGGATTGAGTCTTATCGATAGTGGCAAACAGATCATTCTCCGGGACGTGCCACTGTGCACAGATCTTAAAACGGTCTATTTGCCACTATCGATAAGAATCAATCCAGATTGGCTTGATTGTTGACATCTCTGGCTGGTGGGGGTACGAAGCGATTCCTTTCTAACGAGGTAGAATGCCTCAGTAGCGATTTCTCGCTAGGAACTAGCTTCTTCATAGACGGTTACACACGCGGCTCTAGCTTCGCTTGCGGATCGTCCAGAGTAGTCGAAAATCTCTTATGCGAGCACTAAGCTCGTTTTGTATTTCTTGTTCTATTTTAACATTTGTTTTTTCTTTGCGTTCATACATAAGACTTGGATACATAACGCTCTTTATCTCCTGCAATAGAGACAATATGGATGGCGACATTATTCTCCCCCTCCAATGAATATGGCTCATATCTAAAGCTCTACTATATAAATTTGAAACTTTCTCTGAATTTAACAAGCTGTGTATGTATTCGTTACTTTCAAAAGTGATTGTTTTTAAAAAGCTCAAGAGCTACTAAGCAATCTACGCATGCTTCTACGACCCGCCTCCGATCGCTCATCCTACCAGGATTTTGCAGTTTCGGCTTGCAACCCATTCATTGGCATTTCGACCGTCCTAACCGATATTTTACAACCACTCGAGCTCTCTGTTGCATTCAATTCAACTAGTGGAAGCTCCTTCGTAGATCTTTTCTGTACAGCGCCTGGCATATCCCATACAGGCATATTGTTGTCTAGCGTGTTGCATAGTAGTGATATTTCCCGCAAATTTTGTAGCACATTAGGTTGGTTCGTTCGGAGAGAAAGCTATAGTTTTGAGTTAGTAGCAGTTGTTTATTAAACTTAGGAGTCGTATATACATGCTTTATCTATAGTTAGGCCGAGAAGATAGTACATATCATCTTTTGGTACGACGTCGGGTCCAAAGTTAGATTCAGCGCTTTGGGATAAAGAAGACTCCATGTTAGGTATACTGGCGTAAGTCTATGCTTGTCACTTGGACTTAGGCATGTATTCATGAGATGAGATAAACCATTATATTAGTATGCAATGAGAAATTAACTGCATGTCCATATATCAAGATACAGTATTCGAATTGCACAGAGATCCATTATTAGCGATACATACGTTGTGAAAACGATCAGATTTAGGCATGTATGGTATGATCGTGTGATAGTGTGATCGTGTGATGATATGATGGTACGATAGCTCTAGTAACGTATGAACACGTTGTCAGAAGGGCCCTGGTTGGCTAATGCATGTAGCTGGTATCTCGCAGCCAATAAGTTCGGCCATCACCAAACTTTAATCCTCAGTATTGGTCGAATATAGAGCCATCCAACAAAAGCCATTCACATCTACTGAAACTGCATCTATATACACTTCTAGTCAAGTAAAAGTTAGAGATATAAAAGCTAAACTAGATAAAGGGTCCGACATCTGGAATTAAGTGAGAAAACTTCCATTGGTAATTTATTATTCAAACTGGCATTGAGGTACGAAACTAAGTTACGGCAACTCGCTCAACAAAAAGCCACTTAAGAAATGATCAAAAGCTGGAGAAGCAAGAGGCGTCAAACTGCATGAGAGGCGCAATGTGCATCTCACTCTACGCCACTGACGTGGTCTCTCGTATCCTTCATCGCAGCAATCGCTCCAATAGCCTCTGCCACAACATGGGCTACATGGTGCTTTTTGTTCCCCATAATCTCTTGGCCTAGAGAATAGGCACCAATAATCTCTTCTGCAAGCCGTCGAGAGTGTCCTGGGGGTACGTGATCCTTCGAGCACTTTGGATCGACGCGAAGGACATGTGAATCATGATCGTGGTGGTGGTGACCGCACTTGTTGTGTTCGCCCAGGACTACGACATTGTCGTCGTCTTCGTCTTTGCCCTGCCTGTCGAGCTCGTCTCGTCGAAAGAGCTCCATCGCGCCGACTGCGACTGCGGCACCAATGGCAGCATAGCCGATATGTTTTTTAGCGTGGGCTTCTTTGCCCTCATGGCTGGCCTCGATGGCTTTCATGATTTGGTCGGCTGTAAGGACCGTTGAAGTTGCAGCGGCAGCCAGGTCTGCTCTAGAGGATCCGCTCATTGTTGACGAAATCAATGTCGTATTTGAGGGCAAGTAGTTTATCTTGTTCTGTTCAAAAGTCCAATCTCAAGAATGGAGCAGTTGTTTTGGAATTCAACTGAGATTGCGAGATGAGCTATTATTATAATAACAGCTACTTTCAGGCCACCTACAAGAAACGAATCTTAAGATACGTTTTAATTTAAATAACCTGATCTGGCACCACCGAATAACATGCTATGCATAATGTAAAGTAAGCTACATGGTCCGATTTAGGATAGTAAGACATTACATGTCCATTGCAACCTTGGGTCTTTGATGATTCGTGATAGGATGCTTGCCTCGGGTAAAAGCGAGCTGCCGAGCTGCTCGAAGCTTACTACGCCGAAAGGTGAAACTGTCTTTTGTGATTCGGGGGTGCCGATTATGTACGCTCTATAGCAAGCGTGGGGGCGACTTTACGCAGTGAAAGCGACCCAAATCGAGAAAGAAGAGGCAGAAGCAATAATCTATTTAAGACATAAAATAGCAGATAATATGTAACGACGCAGGCAAGACTACTCGGATCAGTATTGGCAGTAGTGTCACTCAGAGATATATGGGAGTGCGTGGGACATCAAACGAGCCTTGATTCAAGCTGTCAGATAAGTGACAGAATCCGAGTGTGATCGAGCAGCTGGATTCTGTGATCCGGGCCGATCAGAGCCGAGAGCCAAGGCCCATCCCTAGGCAAGGCTGATACTCAGCCGCCTAACTGAGACAAAAAACAATAGCGACTGCGCTCATAAGGCGGCGCGCCTACGCGCCGCTGGAGCAAGGACAGGAATCAATACAATCACTTTTTACCATCAATCTTACTGTCCTTTGAATAACCATCACAGTCTGACAAAACGATAGCGACTGCGCTCATAAGGCGGCGCCTACGCGCGCCGCTAGAGCGCAAGAGGGAGAGCAATCAATACGATCAGTTTCCACCATCAAGTTTATCACAGTCTTTTATCACAGTGATCCAAATCAATCCTTGATCAAAAAAACCCCTCACAGTCTGACACTGACATAAGTCAGCTGACGCGTCTTGGCACGTAGTTATATGAATTGACAGTCTTCTTCTCTATCTACTACTACATCGACGTTATGTTATAGCTCTTGTTACTATCGTTGTTGTGGCTATAGTCGTCCTTATTGCTGTAGCCTGTTGTCTACTATGCCTTCTCAGCACACCGGGAAAGGCACAAAACGCGTCGCAGAACCCGCAGAACAGTCTGCCAAACGTGTACGCGTTGCTCGTAGTACGGGCAACAATATGCAGCAAAGCTCTTATACAGTATCAGGGATTGATCTAATAGTCGATTCAGCAAGCAAGCAGCCTTGTCGACGATGACCGCGCAAAGCCCTAGCCAACGCAGTGGCCCAGGCCACCGAACAACACTCTCTTGAGAGCCAGTTGCTGCTCCACGCTGTGCCTGAAGAGACTATTATACCACCAATCGAAGGCTCTAAAGCTGCTACGATAGCCAGTATTAACGACGATGGCCGCGATGTAAATAATCCGTTTGATGAGCGTTTCCAAGACAACTTTGACGGTATCGATTAGAATCGGTTACCGCGCTTCTGCAAGTCTCTACATACGCAGACGCATCAAAAAAGCTGTATATATGGCTATGAATATCGGGTGTCGCTACGCAGTAACCCTAACGAGATCTACTTCGTTTGCAAGTTTTGCCATCCGCGTCGCTCACTTGATAGTATTCTTAAGGTTACGCAGTCGACTCATCTGCGATAGCTCACCTAAGGCAGGCAAAATTAGGCCATAGATTAACTGGAGGCGGCTCGAAAATACTATCAAATCGAGCGTCTGGCCAGCAATCGCTCGCGATGGCAGCTGAATCTTGTGTAGCAATCAGCCAGGAGGTTGCTAATAAATTAGGCAACTTTAATGTACAGGCCTTCCGTTATGCAGCTGTTACGTGGCTTATTGAGAATAGCCACCCTCTCTACGAGCTTGAAACGCCTGCTTTTTGATCAATGATAGGCTTCGCGAGTCCGGAGGCAGAAGATGCGCTATGGAAGAGCGCTAATAGCGTCAAATCATATGCAATACGTCTGTATGAGTTTATAACACCTCAGGTTGTCGCTGGGCCGTCTCAATCTATTAGCAAAACCCACGTAAGTTTTGACGGGTGGACGGCAAAGGGAGGCGAAAGAGGTTTCTTTGGTATCGTTGCACACTTTGCTAACGCGTCAGGAAGGCTTATTCACCTGCCTATTGCGCTGCCGCAGTTGACTAGCGTGCATACCGGGGAACGACTTGCTGATATTGTTACTCAAACGTTGCAGAAGTTTGAGATATCTTCATCAAAGCTTGGTTATTTCGTCCTAGATAACGCGTACGCCAACGATACTGCTGTTACCTATCTTGCTGGGCAGTATGGCTTTACTGCAGCTCAACATCGCTTGCGCTGTGGCTCTCATACACTTAATCTTATCGGCCAGGCTGTTATGGTTGGCAAAGATCCAGATTCGTACGACAATGACGCTGAAGAGCATGAGGAGGAAGAAACATTAATGGCAGACTGGCGTAAGGATGGCCCATTGGGCGTACTAGTAAACGTGATTAACTATATTAACATATCTCAACAGTACGATCTATTCAATCGTTTTCAGCACCTTGCCAACGCTGAGCTCCCTACAAACGATCAGAACGCGACACTTGAGCCAATCAAGCCTGTTGTTACGCGCTGGAACTCGTACTGCAGCTGCTTCGAACGGGCTATCAAGCTTCAGCACGCCGTTAGCAACTATGCCAACTACCACATCCAGCATACGCGCAATCTTGACGACGTCACTAGGCGCCGGTGCAACAAGCTTCCTAATGTACCGAGTTGGATGCGATCAAATGGTCTTACTGTCGCAGACTGGGCGGTAATATTAGAGTATACAGAAGTGTTGGATTCACTTAAGCAGGCTACTAAGCAGCTTGAAGGACGCGGTAAATTAGGGCGGTTTGGTGCACTCTATTCAGTAACACCAGTGTTTGAAACGCTACTACACAAGCTTGAAGAGCGCCTTGAATCATACGAATACGTCAACTACGAAGAGCCAGGTGCTGCTGAGGATGACCTACCAATCAATCTGCGCGCAGCTTGGTCAAAAGCCAATGCCTACTACTCTAAGCTTGATAGCTCGCCGTTCTATTACGCCACGATAATACTTCATCTCTACTACAAGCGCTACTGCGATCGTAGTTGGCGCTCAAAGCCGGAGTGGCCGCGTGCCAACAACGCAGCTTTTCCGCAGCTATGGCAACAGTATAGGCCGCATAGCGCAGTACGGCCAGCATCAAGGTCACTACGAAGCGCGCTTGAAGATGCAATCGTTGCTATAGCTGACGCTGACGATAGCAGCGACGATGAGGATATTGATGAGTTCCAACGCTGGAAGAAGCTTGAGCCTAAGTGGATGCGCGAGCAGTTTAATCAAGGTTGTGATCCTATCAAGTACTGGATTCGAACGTCCAGCCCCAGACGTCGCCGAGAAGCTAGAATCATCGCAAACTAATATTTTATTTGAAAATCGTGCCAAGCAAGTCCAGTTAGCTTTTAAAACTTGCTTGACTAAACGCTAAGGACTGGCTTACCAAATCGGAAAAACTCGGAGTGTACCTAAACAGAGGCTGCACATCTTTATATAATATTCATAGCTTGTTTAGCTCATAGAAATTTATAAAAGACCTCCGAAAGAGCAAATTATGCTTCTATAGAGGGTAGAACAGGGGTGTGTTGCTGTTGCTGCTTCAACGCTCAGCACGAAAGATTCATATACACCCCTTAGATTACTGTAGTCTTAGTATTCAAGGCCTGCAATAGATAGAGGAAGATCTAAAGAGTAGACAAATGTGGGCTCAAATCTAAAAATCTTTGCGGCTTAGACGTCAGGTACTCGAACAATGTTGGTGGTTCGTTGCGCAGGGATGTTCGACCCACAGGGACGGACGTTATGTAGAATCAAAGAGCTGACCTGCGTAGCTTCCCACTCACCCGATAGGGTGAATCGTTGTAGACGCCCGCTGGCCGTCGGCATATCAGTCCGATGCATCAAGGGCGTTTTCTGACGTGAATGCATGTATGTTTGATTGGCTCTACAAGCAGGAGGGAAGCCTAGACCGTATGGCTAGTTGACAGATAATTATAGAGCTCTAATCCTCATATAAACTCCCCACATAGAAACGACAAATGAATGTCAGGTTCGGTTGTCTGCTCCGGCTGATAGCTGCAGTATCATACGATTATTGGCTCTACTGCTAGCAACCAGGCAGCGCATGATGAAGCAAGCCTAGTCTCGTGACCTGAGATGGCGTGGTGGCACCATCGTACGTCTTGGCAGTTTCTGCTACGCAGAGGCGGGTCAGAACTGCTTGACTTTGCCTGATTCTGCCCGACTCTGCCTTAACGCTATACCTACAAAATAACGAACATCAACAGCAAGCAAATCTCCTTGCATGTTGGCATCTCGACTGACTACATACACTTTGAGATTTGGAACGTACACGAAGTGGAACAGCCTTATAAGAATTCTGCGCCGCATTACCTCTCTAGTATTCTATCCTAGCCTCCAAAACGCTAGTAAAAAAAAAGAGCCTGTATTCTACAAATTGATGTTACTAACAAAGTTTGGGAATCTGTCGTCGAAAAGAATTTATCAAAATATAGCCCTCTTAATATTCTCTGCTCCAAAATTCTGTACAAAACTTGCTAGTAAGTACAAAGCTAACACTATACTATAGTTCTTAATGACAGGAAACTTAGCAGGAATATAAGCTTATAGCTATTACTGCTGTTGGCCTTTCTCAAGACTACACAGTCAGTATACAGGTTATTCAAAAACGATCCCGTGCAAGTGCGCGACGATCCCAGTCGTCCAGTGATTGAATTGGGAATACGAATAGGTAAGAGAAATGGAGCCTTTTAGTCCAGTATAATAGTTATCACAAAACTTCACAGGTCTGGACTAATTACGTACTCGCAATCAAAGGTCACACACCATTTGAATTTATTAGAGAGTTTTTACTTTAGTCTCTTAGTCAGAGGCTTTTTTCAAATTAGAAACACCCTACACTAATGCTCTTGCATATAGAAGATGAGTCCATAAACACTGGGTGTTTTCTCTCCTCAATCGCCTCTACATAGTTTGATTTTATAGCTTCAGAAGCTAGTTAAACAATGAGGAGTGCGGATGATTTAGTATCATTTAAGTAAATACGGACTGGGACCGTCATACACCCTCTAGAATCATCCTAGATAGCAGCTTCAACCGTTTTTGATCGCATGCACACTTGTTAACGAGCTTCTTGGATATTTATTACCCCAAGTATAAAGCTGTTCTTATGCATATTGTATACATGCCAAGCTTCTACGCTATGTACCTTCATATTACCACATACAAGATTAAGTTATAAGCTGCACTTATATCTTAAATCAGGTTTATAGCGGCTGCGGTATGTCTCGATCTGCCAGTCTAACATAAGATAAGAGGAGTTTCTGCGGATAAGTAGAGTGACTCAGCTATCGCTGACCTTACCACGAGCCATAGATAAGGAAAGATTTTGCGTTATTTCTCTTTTAGATAATGTAAATTTTTGGTAGGCATCTATATAAAATGTGTTCAACTAGTCATGTAACGTAGCCCATTCAGTATCGTGGATTTTCTATCTATCGTGAACTTCTCTATCTAACTTGAACTACTATTCGGTCTTCGATCAGTCAGCAGGAATTCTTGAGACATCTTTAAAAAGATTCCTAGTAGACACTAGTTCACATGCAGTGCGAGTGATCAAAATTAACAGGATGGAAATTGCATTCTAGTCTTTGCTGAGATTCTCTTAGTGTTGAGTATGACTGATGCAGAGGGAATGTGCAGGGATGCTTCCTGTCTTGTGGAGGCGAAAGCTGAATGGTTTCTATCATGACGTGACCCTAAGAAGCCAAGGTAAGGCCCCGCTGCCGAAAAGCAAGATTATCATCTTGGCAGAATCTGATAGAAAGACTTGGAAAATTAGGCAAGTCTAGACTCAACTGACTCATGTTAGAACTGTTTCCAAAAGGTTCTTTCCCCTCGTGTTATTTTCTTTATTCATAGCCAAGGTTTGGACTTATTCATGGGAAGTGTCTGCTCTATGAGTCAAATAATTGTGAATACGCTTCTGACGTGTACTGATACCACGCCTTATAATTATGCCAAAAGATTTGGATGTGGCTTTTGTGTCCTGTGCACTGCAAAGACGTCAAGTGGTAGTATGATAGCCTTAGCTAGAACATAAAGTAGACTCCTGAGCTTGCGTGCCCTGGTTGCGTTACAGATGCACCATATTCGGCGATTAGATCCCGCTGAGGCTAGCTTTGAGAGATCGCCACATCCGATCTCCATCTACTGCAGGGTTAGGCGAAGATCGAGCCATCGAAACTATCCTCGGGACCTCTTTACGTGCGGTATTTCCTATGCTCTGCTTCCTTCTCTCATCTATATCGTTTCTTGTTGGTTCCGTCGACATATTTGTCATCTGTCGTACAAGGGTTGAAGACCAGACATTCCATAAGTCACTTAGAAGCGGTGTGTATGGCCTCGAACTTCTGGTCCTAGGTTCTGTGTATGATTTAGTGACTATACCGCGCAGGGTCTCGAAAGTTCGGTTTCGCGCTAGTGTCGTTAGCCTAGATAGTTGGTTTCTAACACAGCACATAGCATAGATTATTAGAAATCCTGCCCGTGGCCCCACTCAAACAATGTGCCTGTGAAAATTCTAGAACGGCTGCAGAAGAAGCAGGGTTTCGTGCCCACATATGTTCACGATCTTGCCATGTTCTATAAAGGTGCGTTCCGCTCTACACCTAACTGAACCCGAGATACGCGTAGCATCTTCGTATTTATAAGAATCACGCCGCTTGTCATAGTGCGCGCACGTATGCAGTTTATGAAATGGTGTTACTCTTCATTGCAGATCTGGTGGCGTACCTGAGAAGAATGATTGCTTGAGCCTCACTCAAGATGCGATCCTGGACCGGATGGTCAGTATTTCCCTTTTTTCACAGCAGCGAGTCTCTGACCGCTCAAAGCCTCACTTGTCGCGAGCGGAAGCTTAAATGTGATGAGGAGAAGCCCATTTGTAGAAGATGCACTAAAAGCTCAAGAGAATGCAGCGAAAACTCTAAATCAGTCTTTCGACATCAGCATAATGCATCTATAACCATCGAGAGCTCTTCTAAGAAAGCCATGACCAGGAGCTTCTATGCATATAAGGATACGTTCAAACACGATGCTGTCTGGCTAAAAATTCCTAGCAGACGTAAGTCCTCTTTGCGAGAGATTAACCTTCATCCTTCTTTCTCTTCTTTCTTATCTCAAGTGTAACGCTATAGTAGTAACCTTCATCCATACCTCGAACCCGTATTTGGAAAACCCTTCTCCCGGCTTAGATACCGCGTCCAATACCTCTATATACCAGACAGCATTGTGTGAGAGACCTCCGGATGCTTCGCTCCGGACCTCTTTCAACTCCCATCCTATCACCATCAGCCCTACTAGCACAAACTCTGTCCAAGACTCTCTCAGCGTACCCGTGGGATCTGTCTATAGAGCTGGTGTTTTTCTATCTTGCATGCAGCCACTTCCTCCTTCATCACAGGAAACATCATCGGCGCCGCTTTTGTCTCTCTGCGGTCCTTCCGCTCGCGATCATGAATATCAAACTCCAGCACCACCTTTGCGCCTTGACGTTGGAATAATGTCGCTGCGTGGTCATTCTCCAGATTTCATTCCTCATCCGAGCACAGTATGGAGCTCTGGAGAGCAACCTACTTACTCGTATGGAGACTCTTCAACAAAAAATGACAGCGAAACGGGCTTCCTCCTGCGGCAGTTCTCAGAGGGTCCTGGACGGTGGATGGACGTCTTCGATAGCGGGGCTTACTTTTCAGCGTATGTGCCCGTGCAAGCTCGCCATAGTAAGCTACTCGAGCATGCCGCCGTGGCTTGCGCTGCTAAAGTACTTGCACGCATCGAGCTGCACAAGCCAGTGACGGCAGGCTCTACACCACACTGTACTGGAACCAAACCACACCACAGTATACGATCGGTTGAATGGAAACGCAAGGCAGCAGAACACTATGGCGCTGCTATTTCTCTACTTCGCGAGTGCTTAGATAATAAAGCCATCATAGCACTCGATGAGTCCGACTGTGTGCCTCGAGATGATAGTAATAATGTGGAGGAGATGTCCAAAAACCAGGTCTCTGGAGGGCAGAGCGTTCTAAGCAAAGGCCGCTTGCGACTTTATCCCACTCATGTGGTAGCAGCTTCCACGATTCTGTCCATGTACGAGCTCCTCGATGCCTCAACTTCTGAGTGGGTGGAGCATTTAAAAGGGGCGCAATTTCTCCTTGCTCCCCAAGATGAGCCTATGACATCCTTACAGATGCCAGGTGTGGCCCTATCCAAATCGCCAGAGAGGTGGGGCTTCAGCTGCGATGCCAGAAGAGCTACATTTTGGAACATCGTTAGACAAGATGTGCTCGCTGCATGTAAGTAATGTTTCTATAAGATTGTAGCTATGACTAACACTTGGCGATCAGACATCAATCAAACTAGGACGAGAATCGATACTGAGAATTTCATCATGTGGAAACAAGCCGGTCTGCCCATCGATGATCAAGGCTTTCTCAACAATAGCGAGTCAGGAAATTGCACTTCTCTGGGATTCGGGGGCACGTCAAGAGAGTCTCTCCTCTGTAATTCACTCACCTGGCTCATGGCCCGGCTAGCAAACTTTCTAGCTTCCCTCAACCAACTCCCATTAGAAGCAAATGTCGCGCGTAGTGGCATGTTTAACGAAACGCCTTCAAAATCATGGTGGTCCCTACAACGGCAATTTCAAGTTTGGCACGAAAGCTTGCCAGTAACTTTCAGGCCTTCGACAACTGGATCTGATCTTTTCCATACATTGGGGCCACAATCTGTAGCTGACCCCAAGCCGACCATTTCCGAGGCGTGGTGCAGCACTCCGTTGTGTGCGTCTGCTGAGCAATTGTACCACATGAGTCAGATACTTCTGCACAATTGCGGGAGGCATATTATGAATGCTCAACCAAAAGCATGTCATGCTATCTGTGCTGTTTGCAAAATGCACAGTCGTAAGATCATTGGCATCTCGCTCGCTCATGTGGATGGAGCAGTGCGCATCAATTCAGTCCAGCCTCTGTTCGTTGCTGGGCTATGTTTAGACGAGCTAATCGAAAGACGTGTATTGATTAATCTTCTCCGCAGGATTGAGAAGGATTTCGGCTGGAGTACCGAGGCCAGGGTGTATCAAATGCTCCAGCAATGGCAATGAAAAATTGGCAAAGAGCTCATGTATCTACACTCAAATTTGACAAGCACAATAACTATACCACAAATAAATGGAGACGGTACAATTGTATCAAGCTGCAGCGCTTGGTGGATTAGCCTCGGTTCAGCAAGCGTGTCGTCGCGCTGACGTCGCCATTTCACAAACTGCTCTTCCGTCACACCATCGTGCACATGCTTATTATGTGCCTTCTCATCTGCTACTGTTGCGTTGCCGCCGAGTTGGTCGCAGCGGGCGGAGCCAACCTCTGGCAGAAAAATGCTTTCACAAACGAAGACGTTGGAACCAATCATGTAACCTACGTGGTCGAGAGTATGCTCAGGCAAGTGCATGACGTGAATCGAGAGTTTTCCGAGTGGTATCACCTCATTGTCGTCGTCGAACAGCTTGTCGAAAACACTGATGTGCTCTTTCTTATTCATACCGTTTTTCCAGGCAAACGTATGCTGAATATCTTCGATGCGCTTACCAATGCATATGTTTGCATTTAGTTTACCGCTGTGGAGTAGTTTCTGCTAAAGATATTTCGGCGCTGTCAGGCGATACGTGAGCGTGCGTTTCCAGGATGGCGACGATGTCATATCCCTTGGAGTTGGTGATTGAGAGTATGTTGTTCGCGGATCCTGTGGTGATAGTGTTTGTTGTACTGTCGTAGTCTAGGACGCTGTCTATGATCACGGCATTCTTTGTCTCAGGATCTGCGACAATGTACTACCACGTGCTGGTTATTTTCGCTCACAAACCATGCCTTACGCTTCATAAAACAATACAGAGCTTCAAAACCCATTCTAAGCGAGTGCGCAATCTTATCAAGAAGCTAGAGGCTATTATTGGCGTTTTGGAATCATTAAGCGACACGATACAGCTGCATAAAGATGTAGATATCTCCTCACTTAATCTACCTTTGCGACGATGTAGCAGGGCTTGCGACGAGTTTTTACAGGAGCTCCAAAAGTGCTGCTCGCGATCTGGAGGCGATCGACAAAGCTTTCGGGACTGGGCCAAGCTGAGGTACATGGGTGATGACATCAATGATTTTGTGGATTCGCTAGCAGCATACAAGTCAACAATCAATATCGCGCTCACAGACATTCAGCTGTAAGTTCCATAGCTCTACGCCTAACCTCATACGCTAGGGCTAACTAACCTCCTTTAGTCGCAAGACTTCTGTTACTCTAGAGCGGCTTGGAGACTACAACGACCTTATCACAACAGCAACGAACGATCTCGAGGCGCGACTCGAAACTATTGATGAAAGGCTCCAATCTTTGGTAGAGCGCACTACGTCAAGCTCAGCAACAACAGAACTTCAAAGCTTGGAGGACGAGCGCTCAAGCACGCAAAAGTGTCTTCTGATTTGCGCCCAGTTCTCCAAGCTTATCCAGCAGCTGCAATCATCATCAGCAAGGGATCTTCCCCAAGGCTTAGACAGCATACCTGAGAAGATCACGAGCGATGGTATACGAGAATGTAAAATCAGTATGGAGCAAACAACTGCAAAGCTAGAAATGCATATGCAGGACATTTTGGATCGAATGATGGCCAGTTCAAGCGTAACAATGACACAAGAAGATGTAAGACACCTTGCAAGATTGCGCGAGGAATGGAAAAGTACTCGTAAATGCAGAGATATTTGTTCCCAAGCAGAACAGCACTTAAAAGAGAACGTAAGTGTCATCGACAACTACGCTACAGGTGACGAAGCCGTGCAATTTCTGGTATCAAATAGCCAAAAGACAATACATGGAAAGAACCGTGGATATGGGGACTTCATCAAACAACTCGGTGGTCACCTCAGCGACCAGTCGATCCAGAAGGTATCCGGCGATTTTTTGCAGATGAGTATTCAGAGGCCTGGATATGGATATCCGGATGACAAGGTACCAGAAGCCAAAGGTATAGATGAGAGAGGAACAAACTGGCGGCCGGAATATGGTGGAGGTAGGACGCTCAAGTCCCAGCCTGTTGCAAGCGACTCAAGGCAGTCAAGCTGAGCTAGGTAAAGCCAAATCCTGAGGTTTAATAGCGGTGTTGTTGCACAAGCTTAGAGTGAGTCGCAAGATCTGCACCTCCGGTTATACGCATTTGCACTGACCATTGAATGTTTGTGCTAGACGTTGAGCTTGTTCTTCCTCTGCTTAGCCTCCGCCTCGAGCTTATGCTGCAACCCTCGTACATACTCAATGAAGTTGACCAAGTCACCTGGCCTTGCTTCCTTTGGAATACAGCTTTCAAGATCTCGTATCAGTTCTTGTACCTCAGTACTGTTTGACATTACATTCGCGGTGTAGTCTTCGACCGTTTTGGATTGTCGTTCAAGATAGCCATTGATGGTGTGAATCGCTCGTGTTGCCTTTTCCTTAGAATCGATATCTTTTAACCTTTCGAAAACATTATCAACAATTTTTATGGCGACTTCGAACTTCGTGTGCGATAGGCTGACTAGCAGTGAGTGGGTTGTAGCAAGAGCATGTCCTCTATAAGCAGCCGCCTCCTTCTTTGCCTCTTTCGTAATCTCGACTTGTTCCATCATCTTGGCTAAAGACTTGGTGACGATACATTTTTGCTTTTGAATCTCGTCTTCCAGTTGGGCCTGTTTCGCAACAAGCCGCCCAATATCAGCCTTGTAGTTGGCTATGGTTTTGGTGTATCCTTCCTTCCGCTCGGTCTTCTGCAAATTTGTTACTAATCTCTTTAGACTAGTAATGGCTTGCGTCTGATTTGCATCCTCATGCTTGTAGAAGTCATTTGACATTCGGAGATTTTCCACTTCCGCAAGTGAAAGCTGGCATTCGCGCTGAAGTTGTACCTCCCTCTCGATAGCCTCGTTCAGTTGCTCCTCTGTTTCTCGGCACTTTTGTAATTCCTCTTCCGCATCCTCGATCTTCTTTTGCAAGCTTTCCTTTTCCTTCTTAGCCATGCGAAGAGCGCGTGCATTCTTTCCTGCCTTCGATCGAAGCACAACGTTTGTCTCTGCAAGTTTGCGATTCAGATCGTTCCGAGTCTCGATCATCTTAGAAGATGTATTGCAAACTTGCTTTAGACGAGTCCTGTTTTCCTCAAGGGTATGCTTGAGGTGGTTTTTCTCGATTTCTTTCAACAAAACGGTAGACTCGATTTCCATGATCTTCTGTATGAGGTCCTTTTTCTGTTCGTCACTGGTATTGCTGGCCTTGAAGTTGGCGAAGGCATTATGATGAAGATTCCTTGCGCTGGAACTAAGGTTTACCGCTTCCTGGCTCCATTGGTAACCCGACCATCTTCCCGCGGCAATTTCCCGTTCATAATACTCGGTCGCGTCCCTACATGCTCGCATTGCTTGATCTGATTGCTGTTCAATACGACCTATGTAACTTTGTAAAAAGTATGTATGATGGTTGAGATTGGTGATTGTCTCATTAGCAACGTACATCTGAAAAGCCTGGGCTTGGACTTCATATTGGTAAGTGTCGTTCAGAGTACGCGCTTTAGAAAGTTGGTCCTCAGTCTCTTGTAACTTGGCGAGAAGTTGATGCTTTTGGTCCTGCAACTCTGTGTTCTCCCGGTTCACAGACTCTATAATTTGTGCGGGCTCCATGTTGAAGATTTTGCTTGTACTGGATCTGGTTGGGTAATGTGGTCCTCGTTTGTCGAAGTCGGAATCGGTAGATTTGCGCGAAAGATGAAATACAACATGTGTTAATTTATCGGAGATATTTTTTATCATGGGGCGCGATAATCAGGGGCTTAGAGCTAAGCCAGGCAGAAGTAGGCAACCAATTCAGGCGTTGAGCCAGCGGTGAAAGGCCTGCACAGCACCCTTGCCCATGCGACCCCACAGCGCCTGCTCCAGTGGCCGCCGAGGGGGAAAAGCCTTGGAGATCCGTTGGCTTGTTCATATTTCCCAAGCTAATAATGTGCACAGACAACAAAAGTAACGATTTTAAGACTTGAAGTAGCTACCATACGCGCGTTCTCTAGCGTCGCGAGTTGGTAGCGGACCTTCTTTTCTTGATACTTCTTACTAGTGCTATAAACGCAGGAGTACTTGAAACCACAGCCTTGCGTAAATCATCTAATACCCCTTGTTCATCTACGACATTCAACACACAAGTTCCTGCCAGTCTTCTCTGAATCCAGTACTGTGCAAGCCTCACAATTGCATTTTCTGGTCGGCCACGGCGAGACCTGTACTGTTGCAGCATTCCCTGTGACTTATCCTGCCAAGTATTGTCTCTCAAGATGGTTGGAGGCTGAGCCTGAGCCTGAGAACTTGTAAGGTCAGTGTTTCCTGGCGTTGCTAACTCGTTAGCTGGAGTTTCGAGTTGCCCACAAAAATTTTGACTAAGAGATGAGATAGCCTTTGCAATAGCAGCATTAGCTTCGCATAGCTCCAAGATATGTGGTACGAGCGACTCAATGGACGCTTGACTGATAGTCTGTAGCGCGGCTCTAATGTCAGGGGTGTTATTCGCCATATCAATAGATTAGGATGCGGGAGCTGTGGAGTTTGCGTGTTTCCCATATGGGATGAATATATACTCTCGGATATGGCAATTAGATGCGCTATTGCAAGGCCCAATTAAATTGCCGCAAGGCTAGAAAAAAACGGCCCTTGGCTCGATTAATTAAATATTCGTGCAGATTCATAAGGTTACTTTCTGTCTCGTAACGGTTTCCTTGGCCTCTCCCCTAGTGAGATTGTTGCTAAATAGAAGACCTTTTAGGTACGTTCTATCTTGTAAAAGTCTTGCTAATCACGCCCCGACCACGACAGTATTATATCAGCGACACCTGGAATGTGAACTCTTTTTGTTTTTCGACCATGGGACTCGTATGTATAGGTTCACCAATAGCGTTTGCTATAGCCGGGCTCTTGGTATTTTGTGAGGTAAAATAAGGTAACAGAATGAGATTGTGTAAGACTTAGCTTAGCTTCAAAGCAAGAAGTACCTGAGAATATAGGCAGACCTGGCATTTTCCGTTCTAGGACTACTCATACGCTGAAACTAGGTCCATCCACGGCACTGAGTCTCCTAGTGACTGAAGCCGATTCAAAGCCTCAAGATCTCGAGTCAAGGTTCGATGACCTGGACGAAAACTAGACAAGCTTTTGATAGTGTAGCGATGGAGTTTATCCACTTTCTCATCTGTGAGTCTTGTTTGCTCAGCGATCCATGGATGAATTGCAGAGAAACGAAGAGCGCGCAAAAGGAAGACATTTTTGAATTTCCTGGAAAGTGTTAGTATCAGAGATGGGCTTTTACCGATTGAGCAACTTGCGCATGGAGTGTGTTGACGGGGTTGCTTGATATTACTGAGCTGCCACCTGTGCTTTGATACATCTCGTATTTGCTGTCGGAAGCTGTCCCAACACGGTCAAAGCAGACCATACTTGAGAGAGCGTGTTTCTCCCAGTCGAAGAGGACTTTGAGAATCCCTTGCTGTCCTTCCGATAACTCTTTCGATACAGAGTCAGCATTGTAACGCATTGCATGTACTGCAATGTCCAGATATGGCCTCAACAGTGCAGCCGCACCCTCGTAGTATTCTGCTTGTAGTGAGGCTTTGATAGGGTCAGTTGATGGAGGTTCTGTATCTTTCCAGGTCAATTGTGGGACTAAATTCGATCTCCATACTTCCAACATGCCGATGTGCTCGTTTGCGAGATGTACAAAACCACACAGGTCCTTTTCATCCATCTCCCTTGTTGTCGGGACATATCGGGGCGCCGTCGGGAGATGCGGGCGCACGGAATCACACAGATCCTTCTCATCCATTTCTATCTTTGTTGAGAGATGTAAACGCGCAGAATCGCGCAAACCATCAAGTAGGATTCGGAGAGCTATTTTGTTCCAGTAAACTCTTTCAGGAGACCGTTCCACATTTTTCTCTGGAACTAATGTGTTCAAGTGGTTGCGCAAAGGATCAGATGCCCAATTGGAGTAGTTGTCGATACCACTAGAAGGACAGTTAAAAGAGTACGCAGACTTATATTAGCAACGTACCATTTCAGCTCCCAATAAATCCAAAAACTCCTCTTTGCCTCGTCAGAGAGAGACGTATTACTATGTTCTGTTAGCCTAAACTTGTAAAGGTGATAACGGATCTTACGTCTTGACAACGTCTATGTATATGTCTCGAGCGTTGTAAAGATACGTCAAGCTATCGTGAAGCATCCCATTTTGGTTCATGTAGAGTGCGGCCAGAGTCAAGGCCTGCGCAACGGGGATATTACGCTCTCCAAGTTTATACTTGAGGATGGCTTTCGCGCAAGAGTAATATGCTATGCCTGGCATGGTACTTGAGCGGCATGTATTTTTGGCAACTGATTGGCAGCTTCCCAATGCAAAAAAGAATAGTACATGGACATTCCTTAGGCACGGGTTGATAATACCTCTCTGTAAGAATGGGTTATTGATGAATTCGTTGCACATATGCTGAGGTTTGTCGAAAAATGGATGTAGTGGATGCGCATGCTCGATGTAAGACTTAGAAAGCTGGTGTAGCTCTTCACGCGAGAACGATTTTGCTCCACTTTCTTGTCCAAGATCAAGTGGTACGAAATGTGAGAGAGGATCGCCTCTGCTGAGCCTTTCTATTTCGCCGCGTGCGTCTCGAAGATCTTTGGACATAATAGCCAGAGTATCATGTATGCGAATTAAAGCTCTCTCCTGTCTATAAAATGTCAATAAAAAACGACAAGCCCACTGATAGCAACATACTTGGATGGTTTAGTGTCTCCATACACGCACTCTATCCTGTTATGTTGACATCCCATACATGGACGAGCTCCGTCGCATCTAACTTTGCGATTGCGACATTCCTGACAAGCTGCTGAAACTCGAGCCTTGGAGGTTCTGAACGGTTCCTCATTGGCGGAACTCGAGTTCTGATCTCGTGCATCTGGAGCGGATAGAAGGGACATCTCGCTGAAAGACTGAGGCTATGATAGAGCTAAACTGTGGAGCCTTCGAAGGGCAATACTCTATGAGAACGTCGAGAAGCGTTTGGATGAACTCAGAAGACAAAGAGTGGTTAAGTAGTAGCAACTGACGATAGCCAACATTGTCAGAAATCCGGAGCAAGTGCGATTTGTGAAAGTGGAAGCTAATGCCGGCACGTATGCAAGATCAGTCGTCTAGAGCTATCAAACAAAGTCTATTGCCAATTTTTTGAGTAGAAAAGCAACTCATTGCCCACATCGGCATGGATATGCCACCTTTCTCCACATTGTCTTTTTGTTCTCCTCGGCTCAACTATCTGTCACGTGAATACCACTCAATAGACGCTCGCGACCAAATTTTCTGGTATGTCACCTTAATGATTGTTGTCATGACCTGGTTGAATTGTATGGCAAGCATGATAGGCTTGCAGCGATATAGATAATAACCTTTCTTGTACGATAGGAGGATACCCACATATGATAGCATAGACACGATGCTAACAAAAAGTTACGCTGTAATACTAAAAAACAGAAGAGTGTATTACAAGATGACCTATAAGTCAAGAACAGAGTAAACATGCGCTTTAAGCACTGGAAGGCAGTCTTCCAATCGAGTTTCTTCGCCTGCTCCAATCGGCAACCCATCTGGTAGAATGCCCCGATAAACAGGTCTCGAGATATCCATGCGCTTCTTTTCATACTCCAACAACTCCTTGTAGACATAGTCACCAACAATACCTCGTAATTGGTTTGTGATGCGCGTATGTAGGAGAAGCTCGCCGAGACCCACTCCCTGTAGGAGGATTATAGTATCTGACCGGGTGGCGACAGCTACTCCGTACCCGCGAACACCTTCAGAAGTTGAATAGAATGAATCTACAGCGATAACTGCAGTGATGTTTTCAGGAAGAACAGTATTTGTCTAGAAGACGGGCTGGAGTTAGTATCTGACTAGCAGAGATGTCAACAATCAAGCTCATCAAGCCGAGCTAACTTGATACAGTAATAGGCTAGCTTTTTTAGGCCTAATCATTACTATATCGCGTTAGCTCGGCTTGATGAGCTTGATTGTTGACATCTCTGCTGACTAGTAGTAGCATACGTAATGGTAGGCTAACTTACTGTTGACATTGGATCATTAGCAGTTGGTTCATGTCCGTTATTGGTAGTGAGGTCTTCTTTCGACGGATAGCGAGAGGTCGATTTCGTGTTCGATATGCTTGACCAACGACGAGATCTAGGCCGTCTCAAGGTTGGAATACATGCAAAGCATGATCTCAGCCAATTTACCCATGTTTTAGAACTCAGCTATGTGGAATTAGATCTCATATGCAAACATAGATGTCCAAAAGTCCTTACCGTGGGTAGACTAGGCATTGGCCTGCAACATCGCGCATCAAGCTCCTTCATTTTTTTCACTGCTTCTTCGTATATTTCCGTAGAAATAAAATCTTCTTTAAGAAATTCTTCAAAGGTCAACTCCTCTTCTTCGTCTATCTGCCGTATCGTAGAGATGGATCCCAAGGAATTCGAGACTGTTACTCGAACAAAGTGGGTGCCGCGATGGCAATAAACACGATGAAAGGCAGTGACCATTCGTTTCAAGGAGTCCAAATGCTTCGATCCAACATAAATACGCTGGATAGCGTCGTCATGCTGGAGTGCGTGATGTTGATATGGCTCGGGGCAGGGAAAGGATTTCAGACACGTCGGGCATTGGTAGTTCCAGTTCGCTTTGCTATGTTAGCATCTATATTTAATTGGATTTCGAGCAGAGTTAGAGAGAAACGTGTCTTACAATCAGGACGAATGACATGGCCGTTTTGATGTGTTTGGTCCTCGGTACGATCAGGCTGCAAGGTCAGCCCCTTTCTTATCCTTTAAAGTTTAGATCAAAGGATGGTGACAAACCACATACCGAAGATGCATCTGTAGGAGCTTGAGACATTTTGCTAGCAGAACGAGCTTGAAAGAAGGCAACCGCTGAAGGATGCAAGTGCAGTCAGGCAACAAACAGAAGGATGTCCTAGCCTTGCAGGAAGGGTGCATGATATATAAGTGTCTCAGCCTCTCAAATGACTTTATGTTGCCTATTTGAAAACGTCGCAGACAATGAAAAGCCATTGCTTACTGGGAGAGGGCTCCAGCCAGGGTGACTTCCGACGAACGATATGGACGGGAGCGCGGGTACGAGGCAACCGGCGCGGCACGGCCCCAATGGCCTGGCTGGGTGTTGAATACTGTGAGTTTGCATAATCCAATCACATAGCAGAAAATTATATCGATTGACGGCTTCCCTGGACAAGCATGGCAGACTCAGCGATATCAGGCCGTTCACAAATTACGAGGCCTGGAGCGGAAAGGCCTCTTACTGAACGCTACGCCGATCAGATTCATGCAGGGCGATACCGTGGGTTTGGTAAGGTTATGAAGTGATCAAAAAGTGGCAAGTGCGGTGATAATGTGCTTGAATCACACCTAAAGTAGGCACAGTCACTGAACGATGGATTTACCCTTATGCACAGAAGAGTGGGGATCATCCTTATATGACAGTAGTTTCCCAAAATAGTTTAGTTTTAACTACCCGCGCCGGGTATTCAAATCTAAACTACTTTCAGGATCCCCCCTTCACATCAACTTCGCGACCATCACCACTTCCTTTCTGTGAGAAATGGCATGTCCTGAGTATGAAGGGGAGTTGATGAAAGCATTGGGCCAGTGTAAGCCATCTAATGTTATCAAGAATAAAGTTAGTAATCCCTTGTAAAATCAGGGCTAGTGTATGACTTAACTATACTCAGGCCTTGCTCGAATGTTTCCGTCAATTCATAAAAAGGGGGACTGTACTCGAGTGGTGTGAGATTCTTCCAGAGAGTTTTGAGGCTCGCAATGTGTTTACGGCTATCCAACAGCTCCGGGCGCCGGTCCGCGCCGATGTAGCCACGCAACAGCCACAACAGCCACGTGACACCCCTAAACCGCCAAGCGAACAGTACTTCGAGAAGTTCATTCCAAATAAACGGAGGTTGGAAAGATTATGCAGAATTGCCGAACGCATGACTGCCGTTGAGACAACGACACAGATATGCAAAGACCGTGAAGACCTCGTTCCAGCCGATCCGATCGTGCAGGCAAAGGCGATGTACCGAAGAATAGAGCAACCTGTGAATCAAAGGGACCCACTGTATCGGCAGCACGTTATTCTTTTTGGAGATGCAGTCGACCGAGACGCAGCTTTGCGGCCAGTGGAACTCTCAAGAGGGCAAGACCGCAAAACCGCCGCTTTCGAAGCGATCGCTGAAGGACTTAACATCGAAAAGAAAAAGGTGGCTAAGAGATACACTCACTCTCGCCTTTACTTGAAACTTGCAGAAATTGGAGGGCCAGGTTCTCTTCATTCAATGGATAGCCCTAAGTGGGAGTAAGCATAAAAACAACCAAGTTTAGCATTCTCTAACGTGTCACAGCATGGAAAACAACAATGAAGAAGACTTAAAGTTGCTCTGCAATTACAGAAAAGAACAGCTACCAACGGTGGAAATGCGATCACAGGCGCTCGATTTCGTGGTAGTCAAAGGTTTTATCCAGAATCTCCTGGCTCAAGGGGCAGAGCCAGCCGAGATTGCAGCAGGCCGCACCGCTTTAGCAAAATTAATTTGTCGTCATGTGGGAATCGAAAGGTTTGTACAGGATGGCACTATACTTCCAGCACGCACGAGCGTGTGCAACGACGAACAGCCCCGGCGTACGTTGTCACGATCTCCTGCAAGACCTGGATCCAGAATGAATGTCACAACGCCTCCCCATACCATTTCTTTCGATTCGCAAAGACCAGTACCATTCTACCATGCTCTACAAAGTCACCAACCATATCTTGCTGCGGAGACACGCACGAATACAGCCAAACGACGGAGGATCTCTAGGGATGAAAGCTTACAAAACCTAACAGAGTCAGACAGCATACAAGAAAACGAGAAGACATGCTTTACGCCTCGTTCACAAGCTTCGCAACTTACTGCTGGGACAAGAACCTATGATCAGGGAGATCATCAAATTGAAGAAACCCCAAATGCCCTTCAGTCATTGGGAAACGGTAACGAAAACTACTTAGAGGCTACTGCTGTCGAACTGCGCCAGCAACCATCCTTATACATCAGTTCATTTCAAGATGAGCAGTCTTCACACACTTTTCGAGGCCTGGAGTACGGACCGGGATCATCGTCAAATACTTTAAATGGGGTATTGAATCAATTCTGTCCATCAGAGAATGAAGACTCAATGGGGAAGGCAAACGGTGCACTGAGCTCCAGTGATGTCAGGGAGGAAGAAGATCAAGATGACAGCGAATTACCTTCAGTGGTGGTCAGGGATCTTCGCATTGGGGAGGAGCGTTTAGGAGATCTCGATTTGTTTACTCACTACTACTAATTCACATCATCCGCTGGCTCAATAAACAATTTTTGAGTCAAAATTGGAGTGTGTAATGGCACTGGCTGGTACATGACCCCTTCGAAGACTACAACAACTACATCATGTTCCAATGTTACTTCATCGGCCTCTCCAGTCGACTTGTTTCGCAACTTTAGCTTCGCGTTACTAGGAGGCGCATGGAAAGGCTGAAGAATAACAATATCGTGTTTGGAAGTCTCCAGCCAAGGAGGTGATTGCTGAGAGCTTATCTGCACTCGGAGTACTGTGGGAGGAAGTTGATATTCTTCGGGCTTAGCCTTCCTTATCTTCGCTTTCGCGAAATCTGCTACTAGGCGCTGGACATCTCGCACCTTTTCTTGAAGTTAGAAAGCATCGTCAATGCCATAAGTATCTAGCATACTATAGTGTTGTTGAGCGCAGTCCTGAAAGGGATCGTTACTTCTCCAGGAATATGCGAGAGTGCTATCTGTGGCCTTGGCGTATTGTTCTCGAAGTCCACTTCCTTCCATTGATCTTTTGGCAGCAAGGCGATCTTTTCAGAAATTTTGCGCGCTTCTTCTGTGAGGTTTGTAGGTATAAGCTTAAAGAGTACCATGACAATGTCGGCTTTGCGAAGCAGGAGGTTAGGTCTATGAAAGATGGTGCACAGGCAGGCGCCGAGCTTTTAACGTCTCCACATGACACGTGCATTAATGATCATTTCAATGAAAGACGTGGCGGTGCATGCGGGGCACTTCTATGAATTTAGGTGTCGGAAGAACAATATTCCTTCGCTTGTCTGCTATTGGCTAGAACCTTGCAAGCAGACGAATCACTGCGTCCCATTAGGTTTTTTATCACTTTGACTATATTCATAGTACTCTTGGTATTCTTCCCCTGTCACACGACCATTCGAGACCCTCAGAGTGCCCACAGGAACAGAAGCTTCGGAAACCAATTCACTGTCTCCCTGAGTGCTGCCTTGGGTTTGGTGTCTGTCTCCATTCGTTCTACCAGCGTTTGCCTGATCTGCTGAAGCATTCGTATTCGAATTATCAGAACGACCCGATTGGTTACTGGTCATGATGATGGGACTTCCGCGCTCAAAGCGAAGGTATCGACAGCTGCCAACCGTAAGCGGCCAGTCGCCTGAAAGAGCAATGAGAATGATACTGCGGTTACCCTTAGCTTTACCACCTCATACACCCTATCATTGTTTACGTACGAAAGACTTCGGTAACTCACATTAGACTGAGAGAACACTGATGGGTGTACGAGACTGAAGCCTATTCTCCTATCTTGGAGCTCGTGGTGCGCAGCTCAATCGATGCTAATACCAAGGGCTTGTTCCGTTGACGGTGTGTAGTGCAGAAAGCTAAGTAGTAAGCACTGGCATGTCGTGCTAGAGAAGAATGATATGGAGGGAATGTTAGACCACAGGAGAGTGGATCGAGCAAGTACACGAATCTGGATTGACTACTGGTCTTTATACTGAACTCTATGATTTTACTCGCGCTTGGTACTCCTCAGATTGCTTACAACACGCCTCTTTGTCATGCAGGAACAGATCGACCTGCCTGCAACAGCAGCTAACAAGTGCCATATTCTTGGACCACACTAAGATGCATGATTCATGTTGCTCTAGCTGTATTGATGCTAATATCCATGGATTGGCTTGCAGACCACCTTGATCTCGGTGTAAATCACGGCAGCCAATGTTCTAACAGGCATATTGCACTAGTTTGTCCAACAACATGCGTTCGACACTTCGTATTTATCATGACTCGAGATAAGAGAATGGCACTCTTCTAATGATGAAAAGAACCCATCTTATCTTACGCTTGTTCAACTTGGTATCATCATATATGAATTCGTTCCAAAGCAATATAAGAATTATGCATATGAAAAGCGACTGCTCGAAACTTGGGAAGGACCTAGTAAACTACCGATGTACAGGTCTTACAGAGTGAAGCGTGGAGGCGGTTTGAATGGTACCGCATAGCTGCAATTAGTGTAGATGATAGTATGTACAGAACGCTTTTGTGTCAGACTATCTAGTTGAATCCTCCACACAGGGAGCAGCTTGACAACACTATGTTGAGATGTCGAATGATTCAATCAGTTGTAATAGATTAGCAGCTACTGGGATGCGTTCGCAGTCTAGTGGGCAGCCTTTGCCAAAAATGCGTGAGCAATCATGCAGGTCAAGAAGGCATGGAGGGAGAAATGAGACGAATGAGACGAATGAGACGAATGAGACGAATGAGACGAATGAGACGAATGAGACGAATGAGACGGACAAGACGGACGAGACGGACGAAACGGACGAGAGTGCTGGGATTTAGTACTTGCAATATTAGGCTCTAGCCCAACTAGGAATGGTAGTTGAGACATTCAAGATTTTCGACTAGGCACCACGAGGAGACAGTATCCTCAACCGAAACGATGGTTTCTATATGCACTTACCATCAAACAGTTAGTTCAGCCTGTCCGTCTCGTCCGTCATGTCCGTTTTGACACTCAAACTTCTAACATGGAGTCATACAACAAATAGAACTTGCGCTATAATCAAGAAAATGTGGTTCAAAATGAAGACGAACGTGAGAGACCCTCGGCTTCAGCCAGCGGAAATATATTATATACTGTTTGACGGTTTTTTAATGCAATTAGACTCACGTTGGCACCCATTGCAACCTGACGAGGTTCACGTGACAGTACCGACGCTAAATAGCGGGGCAATGGGGCACCGTACACCACTATCCATCACTGCTTTTGGTCTCTTTGTCAGGCATATTGGCAATCATGAACTTTCATCGTGCTGGAGTTCTTCATTCGAATCTAGAGATTCCGTAGCACATTCTTGTTCTTTGCTGCGACCGTGCAACGACGATCAGCTGTGTCGTCGCAGACAGCCACCACGTCGCAAGGTAAGCCAGCACTCCCGTACGGACTCACTTGTTGGGCATCAACGCCTACTTGCTTTGATACACGAGCGCATTTCATCTAAATATTATTTCATTCAGCTTGATATCCCGTTAATCACTTCACGCAGTCTAACACAACTGCTATCTAGTTCGATCCTCGATCCTCTCACGCGTACGACGACAACCTCTCTCCCCTCCGCTGGGACTTGCCTCATCCTTTCGCAGGCTCGCAATCCTTGATCGTTCCATCCTGTTCTTATCCTTCTCCTACCTCCTACAATCAGGCGCTTCAACGAGTATACATCGATGGTAAAATATCTCTATCCCCAATCATTTGTCATCTAAATAGTCATTAGGCTTTCGATGCACAACCTCTCGACTCGACAATAGATTTTGGGGATGTTGATGAGAACCGTGTCAAAATGATTACAGGCAAGGGTCAGATGATATATTGGAGGGGATGTAATGTCACTGTATACGAAAATGACAGTGAAGGGAAGGAGCAGACAAGGAAGCTTATTGGGATGCCTAACGGGCAAGGAATCCTGGAGTCTGGTACCAAGCTGTATGTCACGTTCGGAAAAGTGAAAGAGGAATATCATTAGTGTATTGGAACATTCTATGTATAGAGCTTGTTCTGTATCCGCAGACCCCTCTCTAAGCCTAGGGATAGGTTAATGATGGCCCCGTTTTGTGTAAGGGTCATTGAAACGCATTCGGTTACATTTCTCCCTTCTGCAATTTCCCTTCGCCGTACGGCGCATTCAGCAATTGCGTGGTATATCCCAGAACCAAATACCTTATTTATAACTTTATCCTCAACGCCCTTCAGTGTAATTTCAGAGGTCTCTGTGGTTAGCGTCATGCCATTCTCTAGAATCACATGCAAAACGCATTCCGTCCATTCTACCTTTACGTTGAACAGAGTCATAGAAAGTTGCGCTATACCCCATTGGCAGACATCTAGACTCATAAGGCAATCAACTGGTCCTCCCCAACCAGGAAAGATCATTGTTATGGCCGCTTTCGATTCCCCATCAACATTAACTCTTCTGATTGCGTTACACATGTATGTGTCGAAAACCTCTACGATCCCTTGAAGCGAGGCATTTTCAAGTACCGGTTGCTCATGCACGGTGGGGAGATTCGAATCGGTTGGGGAAATCGTGAGAACCTTCTTTCGCTTATGCCCTAGAATATGCCAATTAGCCCCAAGCGCGATGCAGCATAGAGAATCAGTGTACCCTGAACATTCCGTGTTTCCCTGTCGGATTCAGTTTCCAGGTTCCGCTTTGTAACTGGTAAAGCTGAGTACTCAGATGGTCGCCTTCCCGATAAACCTGTGGGCAATAAGTTTTACTCAATCGACATTGCAGTACATCATTATTACCGTTGGTATCATGATCCTTTGATTGAACCAAAGACGAAATTGTTTTGGCCTGGCACAGCTCCGTAGCAACCGTTGTCAGCCCTTGCGGTTTTAGGGCAGTGCACCACCAAGTTTGAATAGTAGAAAGGCGAATACGCAACGCATTTTCGCCTAGCCTCGTGATAGATGGCCCCAACGTGCACAGAAGGAATACTTCAGGTCCTATGGACTGATAAATATCCTTCAAAAACTTGCGTGCTCGTTGTCGTATGCTACGGCGTGATTTGCCTCCACGACTCAAGTCGTCATCTTCTCTTAGCAATGTGCAACATAACTCAAAAGACCTTTTCTGACCTTCGAGCAATGAAGTGGTATTTTCATCGAAGGTTATCATACTCTTTTTAAGTTCTTCTATTAACCAATTGTCGTGATCGTGATGGGACGACATGTCGGAAGGACACAGGTAGACAGACAGGAGAAGACCAACAGGGCAAAACGTATAAGATGGAACCGACAGGTCCAGGACGTTTAGATGGAAGAGACGGACGAGATGGAAGAGACGGACGAGATGGAAGAGACGGACGAGATGGAAGAGACGGAAGAGACGGAAGAAACGGAAGGGACGAACGGGACGAACGGGACGAACGGGACAAACGAAAGGGAAGATTGGAAATGGATGTTGTGTGAGATAAGGTGGGGCAAGTCGGAATAACTTGTGTCCGAACCGCGTCGGCTGTCTGCCACGTCAGCCTAGCCGAGGACAGCTGCGAAATCACGGCTACAACTTGATCAATCTATGCAACCCTTCCTTATCGGCATCCAAAAAATAGTCAACTGACCAACCTTCACTTTTTTCTAACCATGTCTAGTATGTCTTCTGTTTTGGAGCATCTGTTCCAAGGCAGCCGTCTTTGTGGTGACATTTTGGCGCACCCTACTCTTAACGCATTCGATATTGAGCACCTTACCTCCTAGCTATTTTTAGTTGTAAAAGCTTGTATCAATGATATGCAAGTCGATAGCTCTTACGGTAGTCTTTGGTTGTATCTGATTACTACAGTCTAGCTCGTCAAGAAGTCTCCATTCTTACGTAGATCCTCTTCCTATATTCCCTTACGCTTTCGCCAGCGCTTAAATCGGTCTTATAATTCACCGGCATTCATAGCATGGACAACAGCTTGACTGAGTATCCAATTGGATTCGAGTGAATTTATTTTCCAACTCAATGCATTATGCAAAGCAGCTCTCGTCTAGTCCCGTTAAGTACTGTTCTATAAAGAGCACCAATTCTCTTACCTAAGGGGCTTGAGGGAGGATATATCAACAGCCATTTCACCCCCATTTTTGCTGCCATTTCTTCATACCTGATCCTACCAATACTTAAGACATTGTTTAAACCCATACAAGTACGGGTTGTGGCCATGGCTTACCAGATCCATTACACATCCACCCCAGCCACCTACACATCTATCCCGGCGCCAACTGGAACTGGTCCATCTGGCAATACCCCAGGTGGATATGCACCAATCATCCATTCTCCCCCAATTGCGAGCGCTTCACCAGCTAACATCAGCCACATCGTTGCGCTCGCAGAGCAGAACCGAGAGCACTTTGAGTATAACACCTCCACGTTCACAAAGATGCGCGTCACCATTCATACTACTGGGGCCTGGGAGGGCTCTGTGCACAGTGACAACCATGTCACCATTCTCCTGATTCTTGACAGTGGTGGAGCGGTTCAAGTTGACATGAGAACCGATGATGGAGACAGAAGAGGCCAACTGCAGTGGAAGCTGGTAAATTACCAGCATTCGAGTTCGGAGATCAGGTCTTTTGATTATGACCTTGGTGCGCCAGTTCAGGTCAAGACTCTATATACAGCGATTCGAAATGACTGGAGTCTTCACCAGTATCTCTTCTCGGCTGGTGGCTCAGGATGCCACTATTGGAAGTATGTACATTCTTGCTATTCTAATGAATGCCGCTTATTGCTAACTCGATGCAGCTATGTACTCCTGTCTAAAATAGCAAACGATACAAGCAGGTTCTCCTTGCACCCTGACGTACCAGCCCATGCTTGGGGTGTCTTCGGAAAATGGTATTCTCGAACTGGCGCCGAACGACCAAACGACCCTCCCCGCCAAGGTCAATTTCAGAGCTACGCGGAGTGGTGGAACGATTGGTTCGCCTCAGAGGAAGAGGAAGACGAGGAGGATTGAAACGATGCTAAAGCGAAGTGTTCGTTGAACATACATGTCCCAAAATCAGGACATAACATCGCCGTAGAAAGCTTGATTCAAGGTTCTTGTTCTTGTTTGTTCAATGGGTCGTGTCTTCTTTCAATCGTTCTCGTTCGTTACTTTTTTCCTACGTGTTCTGTCTTCCTTGAGACAGCCCCTCTTTTATTCTTCTTCGGTGGGTTCATTCCAGGCGGTGGTTGAGGCTTGAATTTATGTATTTGGCTAGTCTTATTAGCAACGTATATCCATCGCATATAACCATATGCTTACTATATATGTCTTTGCCCAAGATAGTAGGCTTGTTTCAGAAGCCGGGCTTGAGCTTTCTCGTCCTCATCAAGCTTGTCTAATAACTCCAGGAGTTTAGTATTCCAGTCATTTTCTTTTCTTACGTTGATCTCTAATGCAATCCGTTCAAACAGTCTCGGATAAAACCCAGCTGAATTCCAGTCGACAAGACAAAGAGAAGCATCCTCCAACACAAGGATGTTTCGGGGTGCGATGTCGAGATGGCAAAAGACTAGAGGATATCCAACTAGATTGAGATGGTCTGAATTTTTCAGCTGTCTCTTATTGTAGTACTGCTCGATGTCGGATATAGTAGCGGGAGCGATAGGATCGTAGTCCAACCATAGCTGACCAAACGCGAAACTCTCATGAAAAGGCCCAGGCCTGTCTCTTCGTACCTGTTCGAAAAGTTTCAGCACTTTCGCCATTGGTTCCAAGTAAGCATCGGGATTCATAATCGACGATAACGGCTGGCCATTAATGTATTCCATGATGATATAGCCATCGAGTCCATTAATAAAAAAACGATAGACCCGAGGAATTCGTATAATAGCGGGATCAAGGATCTCGTATGCTCGCTGTTGGTTCACGGCCTCGTATTGGCTGACGCCGAATCCGCACTTGACAATGGCATCTTCTGAAATCCTGATGATGGAAAGTCCTCCGTCGAGTTCACTGATGACATCTCGGTGCGGATTAGAACGTAAACAATGTTGAATGATTTCATCGTCGGTGGCCTGATCCCATTTAATGGCCATTGTTGGATTTGATTGGGTTGAGAAGAGGAGGTATTCCTTAGCATAAGGCAGTGGGCAGCCTGCGCATTTATATATAATGCGCAAATAGTCACGTGACTATCATCGGATAACCCATCGCTTGGTCTTCCCCTGCTCGATCGCCTTGAGTGAGCTGCTCTGTATTCTACAGACCACTTTGCTGTGTGTGTGTGTGTGTGTATGTATATAGAATCAATGTCTATAACGGCTCGAAGAGATTGGACATAATGATAGTACGTGTTGCAAACGTGCCACTAATGCTCGGACCAGCCAACCTTTTGTGGGACCGAAATAGCGCCAAGCTAGCCTCCTATGGTCCGCGCGTTGTTACGCGCAGCAGCTGCCATCCCTTGCCATCGCCACTCTACATCGCACGCTTCTCTTCGTCACTCCTAGTCTTGTCCCAACCCTCCGAGATCACGCAGGATTGTGAGCGGCCGCTTGTGTGACGGCGCTGTGGTATCTTTTGGCACCTTACATGCCTTTTCGAGGATGTCGACAAAATCGCGATCATAGGTCATACAGTCTAAACCGATAGGTGAAGGAATAGAAAGCTTTCGCAATGCATCTAATTCAACAAGCAACAATATAAACGTTCCTAACTCTTCGTGAGCGCTTGATCCAGCGAGTTTTGAAGGTAGTACGAGCTGACTGTTTGTACTGCGCGGTTCTAATGTCATTTTAATACCTAAGACTTGCTGGTTACTCTTGTATCCGCCTTGTAGGTCCTCCTTGCCGCTCGACTTCTGTATTCCCACAATGGCAGTAGAAGTCCCTCCCACGACCTCTTGCGGTTTCATGCCGCTGTTAGTTCTGACAACTTCGACACCGAACGAGTAAGACCACCACTGGACGCGATGCCGGAACATCAGTCTGACGAATCTGTCTAGAATGCGGTATACAACGCCGTCATCGAACCGACGCCCATACCCCGCCCTACCTCATCCTTCCATCAACGCGGGCAGCTTCGCGAACTTGACAGAGCATCGCAAATACGTAGACAATATGTTGAAGGAGGAGTTAGAACACCTATACGTTGGGATACCCAGCTTCTTCGACGCGTTCTTCGGAAATGTGCTAGCTGGCAAGACCGGCCTGAAGGGGCGAAGGAGGATGTTCTAAGCTGGTTTGCTCCGCTCACAGACCAGCCATTGGACCTCGCAGAAGGGCATCAGCCAGAATCTAGAGTTCAGCGGCGACCACTAGCACAACCGAATCAGCCTCTGCAAGGCTCTACTACCAATCATAAGATGGACATTGGCTTTGTAGACGATTAGAACGCCGGGATGAACCCGAAGTTTCAATAGCCACATATCTTCATACCTAGAGAGCTTAAGAGCAACCCATCAGTCGGCAAAGCGTTCAAGGCGTGGCTCGACCTTTGCTACGTGAGGGAGGTGCTTGCCGCCCGCCGCTTTGTTCTTGGCCTTACCCTCTGTGGATCTCTGATACGGCTATGGACATTCGATCTACTCAGGGGCAACACCTCTAAGCAATTCGATATACGAACGCATCTTTACCGCCTAGCAAGCGAATATATTCGAACTCTCCTATAAAAGGAGGAAGAACAAGAGTGGATCGAGTGCACCACCGTGAGTTCTAGGGCTAGTCTTCTAGCTGCGCTAGTAGCCTCCATCACAGGATACGAGCTGTTGTATATGCAGGTCGGCATGCTACAGTGCGATATCTCGCCAAACAACCTTATGGTGTGGATGAGGACAAGGACAAATCCTAGCACAGCTTCCTAATCAACTTAGACCTTGTTATCAAAGGGGGTCACGAGGAACCAGGAGGGGCGCAAGGGAAGAGTTGTCGTCTACAGTACTAAACTAGCAGGTCATCAATCATGATAATCCGGCGTGTACATCAGTGCATTATCTTGAAAGGACAGCGTATTGACTTATTGCAGTGTGGTGTTTAATAAAAGATCCTGGTGTCAATAATTCAGCAGTATGTGTTATACGTGGCAGGAACAAAGATGTGCTGTGATGATGTTACCACACATGACGTAAGTGAATTTGAACTTGATATACATACGGATAAAAAAACTTCAATCTGTTGTTATAGAAGATAGAAGCTAAAAACTAAAAGGTCTATAATAGATACCCAGTTGCAGCCTAAGTTATGGTTGTTCCAAAAACACTAAACGTTGATGAATGAACGTATCTATCACAGATAGTTAACGTCATGTAGAAAGAGCCGTAGTGCTCCCCTAAATTAAGTGTTTTCTGTCTTCCAAGGTTTCCAAATTTATTGCATCAAAATCCCGGACGCAGATCGCCGATCGATTGAACCATAGGGCTGACGTATGGTCAGTCAAAGAATGACCATAGTTAAAAAGATCCAGACTTCCCTCTTGCGACGACATCGAAAATCACTGTACACTGAGCAGCAAACAACGTCCACAGATTCCAAGGAAGCTTCAGATTGTCAAGCAATACAATTCTATGCTGCACAACAGTAATATGAATGGGAGACATCTAGAATGAAGAACATCGGCGTAACACTACGATTGTTTCTTCAATGTGTAGTAGCGCAGTTTTACTGCACCCTTCGATCGGTTAGGGAAGCGTTGATATATCTCTTCCCACTCCATGCCCTGTTCATCTTTTAGCGAGAGTAAAAGCAATTCTTCTGACTTTCGCCATTTCGTGTGCGTCCGTTTACTGTGTCCTCGCGCATCCTCTTCTTCATTCTCATCCTCTTCGTCATAGCCGTCCTTTGAGCGGTCCGTTCCATGACTAGCAACGTCATCATAGGCACTGCTCATCCAATTCGCCTTCGACCCTCCGCGGTTACAGAGGTCTGCACCACTGCTATTACACCGGTATCCTAGCAGCACCCATGAATCTGGTGATAACTGGGTCATGCGGATAATTTTGCCTTGTTCGCCGAGGATCTTGTGACCAAGGGCTACTAGGTCGAGTAAACTACCCGGGTCGCAATGGCGCAATATTACCGACACGACTGAAGAGTCATTTGGAATAGCACACAGCGTTAGATCGGTGATCTGACAAGACATACTAAATCCAGATCTATAGTTGACATTAATTACATCTTCAGCCGTCGCGCCGGGAGGATTCGATCCTGGAAAGCAAGCTTGTGGCTCTGTATTGATATCGAATCGTTCCAATATTGAATCTTGTTGTGGTTGGCTCAACTCTATTTGTTGCGGTGGCTTCGTAGGTACTGCATTGTAGTCCAAATTTCTAAGAGCAGTGTTGGATGGCCTGCGTCCTATATCAGGTGTCCAAGCCCTGTGACTACGCGGTGAAGATCTCGATAGAGGAATGTCGCACGCCTCACTGTGGCTGGATTTCTTCCCATAAACCTCCCTATTCTTGCTACTACTGCCTTTTCTACTTACCCCACGCCTGCCGGATCCTCGGTTAACGTTTTCTCCTAGATTCAGTCCTTTGGGAAGAGCTATGTGTTCTTGTGCTTGTCGTCGCTCTTTGACTGTTCCCTGGACATGAGTGCCGTCGCGGTGTTCTTCATCGCAAAAATCAATCAGAGGGAGGGCTAGACTGATGGTACAATCTTCTTCATGGCCAGCACTTGGAGGACTAGCAATATAGCCGTCACTAGTACTAATATCGGAAGCTTGGTCGCAAAGATGCAGCGGTGTTGGTTCAGGCGTATATGTAGGTTCGATGATAGGGCTCAGTACCTGTCGCTCAGCCATCCTTTGTCGCTTCGATGGATGAGAATGATCAAGCTCTAAATCTAGCACAACGTTCGGCACTGCCTCTAGGGTTGTTATTGTGTCATCAACCGAAGATCGATGCGATCGTTTTTGGCATTTCGACGATCTTTTCACCACACTCGGGATGCTGGAAGACGTTTCTTCCTCTACTGTTAGTCTCTCTTTGACTGTGTCAGCACGGCTCCCTGTACAAATCAGATTGTCCAACTCACTATGATAATTATCTTCAATATCCTCTGTAGAGAAGGCGTACTCTGCAGCTGTATAGAGATCACTGCGCTGTTTGGCGTGGTCCCTACAATTGGCAGTGGTAAGATAATGGCTTTTGTCCTGAGAATTGGTGGAGCCGTTATAGTGATTGCCAATCGCGTTGCTTTCAGTAACCGAATGTAAGTCTATCCGGCATCAGCGAGATCAGCACCACAATCAACTTGAGTACTTGCCTCGACCATCTCCATGAAACGACTCATCTAAGCCTAGACCCAATGTTGCTTGGTCTATAACTCTCTCATCGCACAACTGACGGGGAAGCTGATAGTGACTATCGCCCATTACAAGCTCATGGGTGCCTATTGTATGGTCCAGTCCAAACAAATCGCACTTTTCTGAGTCTATGCCCTCGACATCTTCTACATGGCTCGTTGTCTGTACCTGTAGTGTCTGTTGAGGGACGGCAGGAAGGTTGCTTTCGCTTTCTAGATATGACCCAGTCCGCATTAATTTGCTTACACGACTAGAGAGCAGGTATTACCTTGGAGTAGCAATCCTGAAGATTGAGTCGCTACTTCTCCGTGATTTTTACAAGTATTCTGTACAGTCTTCTTAGCCTTAGGCTTAGATTGCGTACGCTTGAGTAACGTAGGGTTGTAATGTCTGAACTCAGATAAAGTCTTCTGAGGAACCGAAGTAAAAGTAGCCATGATGAGATTTTGATAGAATCTGATTAAGTCTGGCTGAAAAACAGCGTAGTACCCGAGAGTTTAAGTAGAAAGCCACTTAGCGAGCTAGGGGCCTCCCTAAGTGAACAAACATCTAGCTCGGAACGCTCTATTGATTGTAGTAGGCTATCTTCGGTGTCCCCGAAGCGACCTTCTTTATTTAACCGTGCCTTACTCTTGACTCGACTGCTGCTGCAAAAGCTTCCAAGGGTTTGCATAAGTCTGTAAGCAGGTCCATTTCTAGAGGAACCAATTACACCAGAGGGAGCTTTCGTGACATCTATTTGACCGAAGGAGCGTGAGTGACGACAACACGAGCATAAAGGCTATCCATTGGACAGCGCTCTACCTTCCGCCAAAAAGGTGGCGGAAACGGCTGTACTCATCCCTCGTAGTCCATGCTAACTCAAATACCGATGCAGGGCTATTGACTGCAGGCGTCTATGCAAATGTTCCCTGCTCGTCACATTGCAGCGTTACAAAGGAGAGAAAGATCGTTTGACCGCGTCATCGCCAACAAACCCAGCTCTTGCAGACCGCGGATAACTAAGCTTAGATTGGCCAGCTTGTTGTGTAGAAGGACCGAGAGTTGAAGTAGGCAATGCTAGATGGCCAGAGTTGAAACATGAGCGCTATTGACCGGAAACTGTGTCCTTCCAGCCGGGGCAGGATGCGGTCAGGGTTCTGTTCATCTCTCACTTTCTACGCCAACGGCGATGCCGAGCCGCCAGCGGGCTGTCTCCTGACCTCTGCCCCTTGCTTATCGCACTGCAACAATGCAACACTACAGGAATTACGGACGTGCTATGCGTAGCGAAGTAATATGGATCCCTGAGCGCAAGACTAGCGTCATATGCGAGTAAGAAATCATACCCAAGAAGGAGAGAGCCAGCTCGGGCATGACGCGTCCTAACGAGGCAGATTGGAGGGTACGCTCCACCAAAGGAGCAAGGTGTGGGAGGCAGAGTAGCCAGAGCTGAGATTACGGCATGGAATCTCATGCAGACTGCCTTAATCAAGCTATGCGTGAGGCAGTGCGTTGCAGAAGCACTGATGCCTCAGTGATCCAGAGAAAAAATAGAAAGCGAATAGGTTAATCAATCAGCGGCGTAAGTGACTGGACCTTGCGAGTGGCGAACGCCCCTCTTTCAACCGTAGATGTGCTCCGGATGAAGCCAGTGCAGCAACTATCGTCAGAACCTAGACATAGTGTACGATAGGTATTCTGCTAGTATGTTTATTGCTGTTACTGTATCTTGCATTGCGGCGAGAAGTTTAGAGATGCGTGACTTGTCGGAGCCCAACGTGTGCGAAGGCTAGGGTAACCAGACTCCATAAGGACCGAAAAATTCTGAGAAAGGCGCATAATTGAGAGATAAAGGGGCACTAGAGTAAGGCGGCCTGATTCATCCAGGCTGGTAGCTGGGTGTGAGACAATTGCCGTTTAGAGGATGGTTCAGCCGTATGGGAAAGGGGCGGCGACTGGGCGCAGAGGAGGGATTGTAGTTAGAGTTAACAAGAGTAGAGAGTATTGGAGGAAGAGGGGGATACAAGATAACGTTGGAAGAAGGCTTTTTATGACAGACATTGGAGCTCAGTTTCCTATTTGAGCGTAGTGTAAAAGTCGTACACGGGGCCCGGATTACCTCAATAGGGTGCATCAATTTCCTATAGCAGACTTGCCGTCTGATTGTTTACTAAATTATTAAATATAGAAAGCAGAAGATAGCATAGCAAGAATTAAGAAGTTAGAATAATAGGGAAGGAGAAAAATAAGGTTATTAAGAAGAGAATATAAAGCAAGTTAGCTAGAGTACAGACGCCAGGTTAGCACCCAAGAACCTAGCATCTGCGCCCTGCTAACTTGCCCTAGGACTAATAGCACAATAGGCCGCAGAAGTAGGTACTTAAGTAGCAATTAATTGCCTACAATTGTTAGATAATATAATTAGAAGAAGAAATTATAATAAAAAAAGTAGGTTAGAGCAGGTAGAGGTGAAGGTAAAGGTAAACACTCACTGCTAAGCTAGTGTGAATATAGAAGGACACGCCGCCTCTGCTCTCTTCTTTGCTACCCTATAATTAATTTCGCATCCTACTCTATTAAGAACACTATTAAGAACTGCCTAAACGATATAAATACTATAAGTAGTGCTAAAGGTAAGAGGCGAGCCCTAACGCCTTTAGAATTAATTAATAAGGACTTATAAACTCTAAACTACTAGCGCGCGCGGTTAGTAGGTCTAGAAGTATTAAAGACGCTAAAACTATTAAAGCTAATAAGCAATATAGAGATTAGCAGATCTTTAGTAGCAATAGTACTATACATGTTACCTACGTCTCCCGCTAAACTTCGCACGCGTTTCTTTAACTTTACTAATCATAAGATTAAGCTCCTAGTAATAAGACCTACTCTATTTAGCAACCTATAAGAATAAGAATAATAGATATAGCAACTAAGGAATATAAGTCTACTATAGAAGAAGGTAATAATAGATAGCTAGATAGGTAACGCCACTATCCACTTTAACTAAGTTCTAGCTACGATCCTAAAGGCTAGGGCTATCTTTAAAGATATGCTAGAGGTAATAGCTAAGTATAGGGGCAAGGCTAGGTTTAGAGAATAATACCTAATTCTAGGCACTACTAAGGATGTGCAGAAAAAGCGCGTTTAGGAAATCTTAAGCGCCTTAGAGAAGATTAAGAGATAGAAACTAGGTTTTATAGAAGAATATCTAGTCCTATATACCCTAAGCGTTGCTCTTAGCTACTAAGAAACTATAGATACAACAATCGCTCTTAAACGTATAGACTTAAAGAATATAGTAAAACTAATTGATTTTAACTCTTACCTTTAAGCTATATAGCCTAACATTAAGAAGAATTATTTTATTAATATAGGTAATGAGTCTAAGATTAAAACAGTATATTAAAAACTATGCAACTTCGCTTAGTAAAACCTTAATAACGCAAAGCTAGCGAGTATATTACTAAAATAAGTAGTAGAGCTAGGAAAGATAGTAGCTAACGTAGGTATTAGACTAAACAACCTCATATACAACTTTAAGAAGATAGTCCTAAACTATTAAACTTATAATAAGGATAGAAGCCTAAATTAACACTACAACTTCTAGATAGAGATTACTAATAACTTCTTAACTATAGGCAATATTACTTTACTACGCATAGTAGAGAACGTTAGTAATAAGGAACTCTAAAGCTAAGGCATAAAGCGTCACCTAAAGTAGCGCTTAATTATTCCACACAAAGCCTAAATCCACATTAGCCCTAGACCTTTATAGCTACTTGCTAGATTACTAAGCGCACCTTAGACACTATCTTAGTAGACTACTCTAGCAACATTAGAGATAGAGACTATCTACGCTAGTACCCTAGTAGCATAGAAGGTAGGTGCCCTTACTAGGAAGGCCTAAGAACCGCGCCGTAGTTCTACAAGAACCACTTTCCCTAATCCACCTCTACTATAGAGTGCACGCACAAGGACACGCAACTACCTATTAGACTAAGTAGCTACTAAGCAAATTAACTAAACACTAGACAATACTATAATTAATAATAACACTAAGATTAATAATGCTTTCTAAGAGGTAGTTAAGAAAGACTATTAGTTAATATACTAATAAGAGCTCCCCCTTTCTTGCTATTATGCGCTAAGCTGTAGATTAACACAAACCTCTAACAAACCTAGAGAGAGTTATCCTTTGTAATGTGTGGTACTAAGAATGCTGCGCTTAAAGAGGGAAGGTCTAGACAGTCTGCATATGCTACACCTACACTATTGCTACTGCTAGGGGCATAGGCCTTATTACTAATAACCTTAACTAAGATCTAATAGTCTAGACCCTCTTAGCTCTTTATGTACTTAAGCCGCGATAGGGAAAAATTCAGTTAAATCCTCTTATAGGTAGTCTCTTCTTTAAGCACTACTACTAATACTAATAAAACAATAACTTAGCTAGCTACTACTACTATCCTAAGCCTTGCGCATATTTTAATAAGCTAGACTAGAAGAAGATTAGTAAGATAATAGAATAGAACTTACTGTATAAGCAATACAAGAAGAAAGGTTCTATTATAGTAAAGAGCTTTACATAGCTATAGAAGGAAGGTATTAGGCTATTAATTAATAAGAGCTTTATAATATATAACTACCACTAATGCTACATCTAAGAATAAGAGAACTTAGGATAGTCTCGTGTGATATACTACTCGCTAGTCCAATAGATTATTTGCGCTAATATTAAGTACTAGCTCTTATACGCAGTACTACGCTAAGAGTATACTCTAGTCTTATACCTATACTATACTAAGTTCGCAAAGCCTAGTAACAAAATAGCATTTACTTACATTAACTTAAACCTAACTTAGGCTATATAGAAGGATTTAGGAGTAGACATAATCTAAGAAAGCGTCTTAGTAAATAATAAAGATAATAAGAACTATACCTTAGTAATAGAAGGCTTCTATAAGCATATTTAAAAGTATATAAAGTAGAGGAAGAATAGAGGTATAAAGAAAGCTAGCATAGAGATCTAGGGTTAGAAGGATATAGTTAACTAGCCTAAAGAGCTTAGGAAACGGTTTTCTAAAGTATAATAGAGACGCACACCTAATAAGAAAGGAGAAGCCTATATTACTAACCCTCTACTCCTATATAGCTCTACAGGGCTAGCTACTAAGAACTATTATACAATTCTACCTTAGTATATTGCTATACGCGATAGTGTGATAGAGGTACTAGATATAAGAACCTATAAAGATACTCTTGAGGCTTATTAGACGCTTATAGCACCTGTAAGCTCTCCATTTAGCTACCTAAATAAGTATAGTAGGATTAATTAGGCTTTTTTAGCTAATGTTAAGTTTAACTTTAATTCTTATATTTAAAAGGCCTTAGTTTAACAAGCTTATTAAGATCATCTATTAGTGTAGGAAAAATTCTAATAGAACATTATAAATAGAATAGTAGAGTTAATTTAAGACTTTATTCTAGATACTAGGGATGCTAAAATTAAATAGCTAAAACGCTTACTACTATTAATAATAAAGCTAGAATAAGATGCTTTTTGTGCTAACCCTATAGAAGGTATACTAGATTAATTATTCTTTATAAATAATAGAGTATATCTAAATAAGGTAGCAGACTAGATTAAATAGGACAAGGACTTCTCTAAAGCTGACACGATTGACTATCTGTAGACAGAACTTACGCTAGAACCTAATAAGAACTTAGCTGCGCAGGCTACAGGCCTTCTAATGTCTTTGTCTAGCAGGTCGTTCTTCTTAACTTATAATTTGCCTCCTAGCACACTAGCTTAGCGCTGTTATAGCTCTAGTGTTAGTTCTAGTTTATTGTTACTGCTATAATCGCTTTACTCTCTCTCTCTATTGCGCTAAGTTACTAGTCTAAGTGTGCAACTAAGGCGTAGTAGTCAACTAAGGAAAGGAGCATAGAAGTAAGGCATAGACGCTAGGTTAGGGGCGGAGAACCCGGCATCTACATAGAAGCCACAGGGAAGACAAGATAGCTAGACGTAAGGAATAGGATAGATAGAGGTGGTGAATAAATTGCAACTAGGAAGGAACTAGAGGGTACTTTAGAGAGGGGTATTTAGTGTGTAGTAGAGGTGAGCTTAATAGGGCTAAGCTCTTAGGTTTAGGAGGTTTATGCTAAGGCATAGGGTTACTATAACTCTTATGCTAACTAAGCACTACTTACCTTTAAGAAGGAACATAAATTAATAGTTAAGTCTGTAGGGAAAAATTAATTAATAATATCTCTTAGAAAAATCTCTTGCTCGAAGAACCAACTACATATATTTTACTCCCTCTCCCCTCTCCCATAGCCTAGGGGAAGGGGAAGAGCCTATGGTTCTGTTCCCTCTACTGAGAAGACATCGCAGTTCC